GAAAAGGAGAATAAAGGGTTGGATAGATTATGCTCATCTAGTCTAGGCACCTCCTCACATATTTGATACAAACTTTCATTTTAGTAATAAAAAATATAGACTGGTATGAGGTATCAGAGTGGCTTTAGTGTAAATGCCAAAGCCATTATAGGTAGTGCAAGCAAAAGGGTAACTGCACCCAGTTAGATGCTTGCAAATCATTGAAGGAGTTAAAGGAGCATGGGGTGGTGAGTGTAGCATTGGAACTGTTAAGTTCAGGACTTTGATCCTCTGATAAAAAAAAAAAAGCTAGTGTAGCCACTGCTGTCTCAACAGCCACTTGACACATTGCAAGTTGTGACTAGACATTTTCTCATACTTGCTATTTTCAAACAAGAGAAATAATAACAAGTTGAAATAAATTCAGCTACATTTTTATTTGCTTCCCATAAGTATAATCAATATTCATCAAGATTTCCCCTTTTTAAGGATCATATCTGTCTACAAAACCAAATATTTATTTAGCACATACTAAATGTGCTCAATGTGCTAAACAGTTGAGATCTCATAGTCTGGTGGAGAAGAAAGACACCCAAATAATTAAAAAGTTTAGCTATCACAGTCACTCCCCAATCAGCTGTGATAACTGGTATAAAGGGTTTAAAGGGATGAAGAATGTATGATTGTTGCTATGTCATGTCAACTGGTTTATCTTCTTTCTTCCAACTCTACATATATGGGATAATATACTAACAATGGGGGATGGGGGATGCAAGGAACTCAAATGGTGTATCATCAAACAACGTTAATTAAGCTATCATCTTACATATGCACACCACACACACACACACACACACACACACACACCACCCCTCAAAGGATATTGGCCTTATTTACCTTTTAGTACCTGAAATTTCCACCTAGAAATATTTGTCATACCACTATGAAGGACTTTTAGAAAGATCTTGGATTCTCTTTCAAATTTAAGCATTTTAAAATTAGGCACATTTTAAAATCCCACCAAGGCTGTCCTAGGCCTTATGATTTCCAGTAAAAACTAAAGCATGAATTCAACATAAATACTTAGTGCTGTATTACCACGTTGGAAAAATTTGGCTAAATAAAGTATGGTCCAATGTTGACTCAGTCAGGACAAAGCCCAAGTAACCCGTTGTTGCACAGCAAAAATTCTGTATTTACTCTTTTTTTAATTGAAGAACAATTATTATTATTATTATTATTATTATTGCAGACACTAATATTTTGCAAAAGATGCATCAAATTTCTCAATCTGAGTCAGCTTCATGGTTGTTAAAATGATTGTTAAAAATGCATACCTTCTGGGTTACTTGCTATTTTAAAATACTGAATTTTGCCCCATTGTCAGACCATATGTTCCAGCTTTACTACCGTGTTTCCCCGAAAATAAGACATCCTCCGAAAATAAGACCTACTTACAGATTTTTTTCTGAGTGAAATATAAGGCACCCCCTGAAATTAAGGCTCCCCTAGGCTAAACATGAGAAATTTGGTCCACTGATTCTGAAAGAAATGGAGTCACAAAAAATTCACCAGGAAATTCAGGAATTGGATTGTTATGATGATGTTCCAGAAGATGATGACATGATTGTCATTGAATAAATGAGTCAATTCTTGATACTGTAGGATTCACAGTTTGTCTGGTTTGTGTTGACAATTACTGTACTACCGTACCGTATAAATTTCCTTTATTTTCATTTAACAATAAATGTGTACCGTATTCTTCTTCATGGAAAAATAAGACATCCCCTGAAAATAAGACCTAGTGCATCTTTGGGAGCAAAAATTAATATAAGACACTGTCTTATTTTTTGGGAAACAGGGTAGTAGGTTAAATAAATGGTCACACTACGCTTACCCCACAACTCCCTTCTCCCCACGCCGTGGAACTCTCAGCAGAGATCTCTGCCTCCTAAAGTGGGCATAAGAGTGAGACGCGGAAACCTAGGGTGCCTCCCTCGCCAACTGCCTAAACCGTTTCCCACGTCACAGGCCACGTCAAATGCAGGGCTGCATTCCGCAGCCTCTTCAAGGTCCCTCGCATTTGCACATGTCTGCGATTAAAAAAAAAAGTCTCTTCTTGGGAGTAAATTCACGTAAATATATGACATTAGCTAGCTGAAGGCCAGGCCAACTGCAGGGTTAGAGAGCGAATCTGGTTTCTCTTTGAAAAACCTCCTTGGAGGGAGCATCCCACACCCGCAGCAACCGAGTGGGCCCGGCACCACGTGTCTGCACCAGCAGCCGGATTGGCCGAGCGCGTTTCAGCGCTGCAGTCTAGACGCGCAAGGTCCCGCCCAGCTGCCAGAAGAGCCCGGGAGCCGAGCGAAGAGGCCAGAGAGATCCCGGCGGGGCGGGGGCGGGAGGGGGGTGGGGGACCCACAGGCGTCAGCGGCCTGGAATCTGGGAGGGCCCGGAGCCGAGCCTGGCGGCTGGCTGCCTTGCCACAACTTGCCCGGACCAGACAGGCTTCCACCTACATCTTGCAAGGAGCCGGCTGGCCGCTTCCCGCCTAGCTGCTCCAGGGCCGGAGAGGACCAGCCCGCAGGAGCAGCGCCCCTGGGGTCTGGGTCCCCAGCATCGATCGCCCCCCAATCCGCTTGCGGCGCCCGGCGCCTGCCCTGGAGCGCGCAACTGGGGTGAGCCGAGACCCGGGATGCACCAGGCGCCCCGGGGAGCCCGTGGCCGATGGGATGGGGCATCTTGGGGTCCCTGCAGCCGGGGCCTCTTCCCGCTCCCCAGGCCGTGAGCAGAGGCGCTGCAGACCCCGCTGGCATGGCCGCCCGCAGCCCCCATTTCCATTTGCTTCCCCAAGCGGCAACACCACGGCCCCCGTGGAGCCGGCGTCTCCCGACCTTTGTCTTTGCGGATTGGGGAGCCCACGATGCTGGCGGCCCTGCTGAGGGATGGGGGATGGAGGGAACGGGAAAGAGAGCCCCCTTCACTCCTGGTCCGGCCATCTTGAGGACCAGATGCAATCAAGGAGCGAGAATGGCCAGCCCCTTGGCGCCAGAATGGGACCAGATTGGCGGCTGTGAAAAGAAATGGGCTTCTCTGGCCCGCGTGCCTCCTCCCTGGACCGCTGTGGGGGCTTGTGGACAGTCTCCCACGTTCAGCTCCAAGGGCTTGGCCCGAGAGCAGGGCAGAGAAGAACGGGGATAAAGGGGTGGAAGCTGACGTTTACTGGAAGCGCCTAATTCATTTGGACCTTCTTGATCCACGCATTCCTTCGGCAAATTCTTAACGCCTCTGCCTGCCTGCCTGTCCTATGCTAGGTGCTGGGAATATAACGGTGAGCGAGCGAGACCTCGGCCCTTGTTCCCGCTGATCCTGCAGCCCGGTGGATGGAGTCCACAGCCTACAGACCTGCCAGGTCGGTATTCCTGATCCCCTGTGAACAGAGGCCTAGTGCTGGCATAACTTGTTCCTGGTCAGGCAGCAAGTAAATGAAACTTTGAATCTAGATCTTTAAGACTTCTATGCTGGGTGCAGTGAATCCATAATTACTCTCCCCCCTCCCCCCCACCTCCTTCCAAGTTCCATTAAACATTATTTGGATGTATGGTTTCTATGAAGTTATATGAAGTGTATGCCTGTTTCCTGGATGCTTTTATGTAGGCTTATTTGTAGTTACCATATCTGGAAAGTGGTTTAAAAAAAAAAAAAAGATATTGGATATTGCAGCTATGCTTCTGGTTACTCTGAATTGTATTTTTCTTTCCTCTGTTCTTTGGCTGTTAGGAAAGACAAAAGTTTTCCTGATGGTTGGTCCAAGCCAGGGCTCCCTGGTGGATTAAGGAATGTCGGGCTTTGCCTCAGCTCATTGATCTCTATGGTAGCCACAGGCAGCCCTCAGAAGACCCCAAGAATGAGAGGCCCGAGGTCTACGAGTCGCTGCTAGAAATTTTTTAGCCTCTCCAAAATAAACCAGAATGCAGCTGCCACACAAGTTTGTAAGGTAGATACCAGAGCCCTGTACAACTTGATGGTAAAGCTGGTGGTTAAAGTTCCTCTCCATATATATATATATATATATATATATATATATATATATATATTAACTTTCACATTTTGAAAAATGCATCCTTTTAGAAAGACAAAGTATTAAATATTCGGGGAAGTTTTTTGGTTTGAACTTCTATCAAAACGTTAACTTAGGTGGCCAAGTTGTAGAAGAAGAAAGAGTCCATTTTAAAAAGTATCTTTCATGTAAAAAGTGTAAAAGCTCTTCATCAAATACAATGAACTACACTACAAATTTATCGAGGTATCATATACAATATGTACCCTTATTTTCGGTGAACACAACTGATGAATTTTGTCAAATGTTGTATGCCTGGGGAATCCACAAAACAATCAAAATATAGAATACTGTTCATTATACTCCAAAGTGTCTTTGTGCCCTTTGGAAGTCAGTTCCCCCTATATCCCAGTTCATTTTACATAGTTTCCTTGCTTAATGTTTTTCTAAACGATGTGTAAAAAAAGTAGATATTTCTGATCATAAAACCTAAGGCAAACATAGCGGTGAATAACCTGAGTATGGCAACTGGGATCCACAGGGCCCTTGGGATGTGCATCCCTGGGCTCTAGGGACATGGCACGTCCTGCCCAAAGGCCAGGGAGGGTGGTGCCGTCTCTGGGTGGACAGGGGTGCCCGCTCAGGCTCTTCCAGGAGTTCTTCTCTGGTCCCGCAGGGCCCTGGGCGCTCGCTGACCACGAGGGGGGGCCGGCGCGCCCTTTGCTCCCAGTCCCCGGGGCTGGGGACGCTGCTGCCATAGCAACGGCGGAGACGCTCAGCGCCGAGGCCGCTGCCTCCGCCGCCGCCGCCGCCGCCGCCGCCGCCGCCGCCTCCTGAGAGCTGGCTTTCCCCCGATCGTGAGGAGCGGGGCGGCGGCGGGTCCGGGAGGCGGCCCGGGCCCGGGTAACGGTGTCCACCCTTCTCCGATGCCAGCAGAGGCGGTGGCCAATTTGCTGCAAGCATGGTAAGAGCGGGACGTCTGCGGATGCCTGGCTAGGGGCAGCCGCGGGAGGCGGGGCCGCGGGACTCCGCTCCTCCCGCCACTCCCGCTTTGTCTCCTCCCTCCCCCCCACAGCCCTTCCACAAGCAGGTCTACTACCCCCTCACCAACGGTCTGGAGGGTTCCGATGCCTCCGCAGGCGCGGCCGCCATGGCCTGTGTCCCTCCCAGCGCGGCGACGGGTCCCCTGCCCTTCTTCCAGTTCCGGCCGCGGCTGGAGAGCGTGGACTGGCGGCGGCTGAGCGCCATCGACGTGGACAAGGTGGCGGGCGCCGTGGACGTGCTCACGCTGCAGGAGAACATCATGAACATCACCTTCTGCAAGCTGGAGGACGAGAAGTGCCCGCACTGCCAGTCCGGCGTGGACCCCGTGCTGCTGAAGCTCATCCGCCTGGCGCAGCTGTCCATCGAGTACCTGATGCACTCGCAGGAGTTCCTCACCTCGCAGCTGCATGCGGTGGAGGAGCGGCTGCGCCTGAGCCTGGCCAACTGCGAGCAGAGCAAGGAGCTCCTGGGCAAGCAGGCCGGCGAGATCAAGTTCCTCAAGGAAGAGTGCAAGCGCAGGAAAAAGATGATCGCCACTCAGCAGATGATGATGGAGGCCAAAGCCAGCTATTACCAGGTGTGTTGTGATTGTAATGCACAACCCATCTCCCCACCCCCCTACCAAAACCTCAATTCCCAGGAGCTGGGATATTGATAGCCCTCTGTATCACTTTGTTTGTTGTGTGTTTTTTTTGTTTTTGTTGTGTGTGTGTGTGTGTGTTTTAAAGATCTGTACTGTATATTAGAAAAACAACATATTTAAATGAACCGAAATGAACAGAAATTTTTAACTAACAGATGACACGGTTCATTATTTTCTTTCGAGTACCATAGGATTAATGATTAAACAAGTAACGTGGTCTGCAGTGCTTTATTTAAGCCATGTGCATGCTGGTTGTTTGAGAAGCTGTTTCCTTCTCCTAATCCAAGTAATGAAAAATAAACCATGTACAAACTGCAACTGAGATTGGCCCTCAAGACCTGGAATTACTACATTTGTGGATTTTTTCTCAATTTTTTTCAAAATCTCTTCACATTTATAGAAAAGTTGCATCAACAGTGCAAAGAATTTCCATATACCCTGCAACTGAATTCATCAGTTGTTAACATTTGCTTATTTCCTTTGCTTCTATACATATTATTGAACCATTTGATAGTAAGTTTTAGACTCCCACATATTTCAATGTGTATATTTCCTAGGAACAAGAAAACTCACTAATATAACAAGAGTATTTTAAAAATAAAAAAAAAATTTTTTCTATTGTTAATCTTATTTCTAAGGCAGAGTCTTTGTGCAAGAAAGACTACTTTCTCATTGAAAAGCATGATCTGAATATTATTAAGTTTCTAATTACTGGAATATCTGTTATAAAGCACAGTGCTGATAGATCAGATAGTGTTGGCTTTGGGGCCTGACAGACCAAATTGTTGATATGTATCAATAATTTATTTTTTAACTGGCTAGTATTCCATTGTGTACATGTATCAAAGTTTGTTAACCTTTAACCTTTGAATGATGTTTTGCTTGCTTCTAGTGTTTGGAAATTATGAATAATTTTGATATGAACATTCACGTGCAGGTTTTTTAAAAAATATATATTTTTATTGATTTTTTTTTTTTTTTTTTTTTTACTGAGAGGAAAGGAGAGGGATAGAGAATTAGAAACATCGATGAGAGAGAGAAACATAGATCAGCTGCCTCTTGCACACCCCCTACTGGGAATGTGTCTGCAACCAGGGTACATGCCCCTGACCGGAATCGAACCTGGGACCCTTGAGCTTGCAGGCCGACGCTCCATCCACTGAGCCAAACCAGTTAGGGCCACTACAGGGTTTTTTGTTTTTTTAAAAAATATATATTTTATTGATTTTTCACAGAGAGAAAGAGAGAGGGACAGAGAGTTAGAAACATCGATGAGAAAGAAACATCGATCAGCTGCCTCTTGCACACCCCCCACTGGGGATGTGCCCGCAACCAAAGTACATGCCCTTGACCGGAATCGAACGCGGGACCTTTCAGTCCACAGGCCGACGCTCTATCCACTAAGCCAAACGGTTTCGGCCCTCTGCAGGTTTTTATGTGAACTTATGTAAGTGTGTTTTCTATAGAAATTTTAAGTTCATAGCAAAATTGAGGAGAAGGTACAAAAAGTTCCTGAATACTCCCTTGCCTCACAAATGCATAGCCTCCTCCATTATCAATGTCCTCCACCATAGTGGAAATTTATTGCAATTGATGAGCCTATACATGTTGACACATCATTATCACCCAAAGTTTATAGTATATTTATGGTTTACTCTTATGTTGTATATTCTATGGGTTTTGACACATGTTTAATGACCTATGTCCATCTTTTTGGTAGCATATGGACTATTTTCATTGTCCTAAAAATCCTCTGTGCTCTGCCTATTCATCCTCCTTGCCCTCCGAACCTGAAAACTACAGAATGTCCTATAGTTGGACTTAGACAGGATATAGCATTTTCATATTGGCTTCTTATACTTAGTAGTATGCATTTCAGATTTAAAAAAAAAAATGTTTGTATTGATTTTAGAGAGAGAGGAAGGAAAAGGGAGAGATAGAAACATCAGTGAGAGAGAAACATTAATCAGCTACCTCCTGCATGCCCTCTACTGATATCCGGGGCATGTTCTCTGACCGGGAATCAAACCCAGGATCTCTTGATACATGATCAACATTCAACCAACTGAGCCATACTGGCCAGGCCATTTCAGGTTCTTCTGTGTCATTTCATGGTTTGCTGGCTCATTTCTTTTTAGTGCTGAGTAATATTCTGTTATCTAGATGGACCATCATTTATTCATTCACCTACTAAAGAACACCCTGGTTGCTTCCATGCTTGGGCAATTATTAAGAAAGTTTCTATAAACATCTTTATGAAGATTTTTGTGTGACCATAAATTTTTAATTCCTTTGGGTAAATGACAAGGAAATGTGATTGCTGGGTTGTATGGTCAGACTGTGTGTAGTGTTGTATGAAACTGTCAAAGTGGCTCTACCATTTTGTATTTCCACCAGCAGTGAATGAGAGTTCTGGCTGCTCCACATTCTCACCACCATTTTGTCAGTGGTCAATATTTTACCATTCTAATAGGTGTGTGGTGGTATCTCATTGCTTAAAATTGTGTTTCCTTGATGGCATATTATGTGAAACATCATTTCATATGCTTATTTGCCATCTGTATCTTTTCTCTGGTGAGGTGTCAATTAAGGACTTTGGTGCATTTTTTTTTTTTTTAGTTGGGTTATTTGTTTTCTTCTTGTTGAGTTTTAAGAGTCCTTTGTATAGTTTGTATACCAATTCTATATCAGTTGTGTGTTTTGCCAGTATTTTCTCCCAGTCTGTGTTTTGCCTTCTCATTCTCTTCTGCAGAGCAGAAGTTTTTAATTTTAATGAAGTTCTACTTATCAATTAGTTTTTCATGGATGTGTATTTGGTGTTGTATCATCATACCCAAGGTCACGCAATTTGTCAATTGCATTTTAGGTTTTCTTACCCTGCACTGGTTTCTCTAGGGGTTTTTGCCATTGAGTCTCCAGATCTCCCCAAGCTTGGAGCAGTGGTTTGCCCTGTGTTCTCCCTTTTTCCTTCTCCTTTCTCTTACAGATCTAAAAAGAGTTAATTTTTCAGACTGTTCAGCTTTTTACTTGTTGTTAGGATGGAGTGATGATTTTCAAGCTCCCTACCTGGCCATCCAGAAATTGTAAACCTCTTAGATTTGTCTTGTTTTTTTTTTGTTTTGTTTTTTGTCATACAGAAGTTTCAATATACTGTAGTCAAAATGTGAGTCTTTTCTGTTTGGAATAGGAACCCCTTCTTACCCTGAGCTCATGACTATTGTGTATTATTAAAGTAGTTAAAATATTATTTTCATTTTTGGAAATTAAAAGTTACTTCTAGGGTTTCTCACCTTTCTTTTCTCTCCAGTGCTGTGCCTAGTCCCAGAGCTCACACTTGGACCTGAGTCAGTGTGTGCAGTCCCTAAAGTACTGTGAGACAATTAGAGCATGCATCATAAGCAGAAAAGGCTGAAAAGATTCTTTGAAGATTCTCTGAAATGCAGTGCCTAGAAATATGCCATAAAACTGGTTTTCTGGAACACTAGAACCTGACGTTGTGATGCAGCCATACTAAAAATAAGACAGTAGAGGAATAGAAGAGCATGTAAATAGCACAATGGAGATGAAACAGTGGAATCCAAACTGAGAGAAACTCTGCAGGACAAATGTTCAGTTTCTTCAGAAGAATTGCCAGGAAAAAAGAGATGGAGCAGCACTCTATAGACTAAAAGAGAACTAAGGGATGTAACAATCAATTGCAAAATATGGCTTTATTTGGATCCTGATTTAAAACAAACTAAAAAATTTTTCTAAGACAATGTGTGAAATATTGGGGGAAACAAACAAATGGTAGGATATTTGTTGATTATAAAGGAATTAATATTCATGTTTAAAAGGTAGAATAATGATATCATGATTGTATTAAAAGAAAGTCCTTTTATGCCATGACCAATGTGGCTAACTTGTTTGAGTGTAGTCTTGAGTACCAAAGGGTCACACGTTTGATTCCCAGTCAAGGAAGGGCATATACCTAGATTGCGGGTTTGCTCCCTCCCCAGCGTGTGTGTATGTGTGGAGGGGAGGGGGTGGGGGGGGAATGCAGGAGGCAACCAGTCGATGTGTCTCTCTCACATCAATGTTTCTCTCTTTCTCTCTCCCCCTCCCTCCCTTCCACGCTCTCTGAAAAGCAATGGAAAAATTATCCTCAGGTGAGGATTAACAGCAACAACAAAAACACCTTCTCCCCCCAAAAAAACACAACAACAACACACTAAGAAAGCCCTTTTAGAGATAAATTATGAAATATTGACAAATGAAATATATAATACCCAGGATTTATTTCAAAGTAATCCAGGGGTTAGGATATAGATAAAACAAGTTGAATTTTTGCTTAAATTTTGAATCAGTGTTTATAATAGAGATCTGATAGAATTGATTCCCCACCCCACCCCCACCCCAGTATATTCATTTTAGGAGACCAAATATTTCTACGGCATTTGCTTAATTATTTATTAATGCTGGGCTCTGGGGACAAAGCTGTGAATAATATAGACAAGAGTCAGTGTTTATTGTCTCCTACCTAATCCCAGAGGGATTAGGTAGGAGACAATAAACAAATGAAAGTAAATAAATGTGAAAATGTTAACTAGTGATACATCCAATGATGAAAATAAGACAATGTGATGGGACAGTGACTGGCAGAAGGACCATCCTCGAAGCTCTTGTTGAGGACGTGCCACTCATCCCCAGTGTGGAAAATGCTTCATAAACGACATCTTGAATGTCAAATAAGGATTAATCAGGGGAAGATCTAGGGAAGGTTCAGGCAGGGAACCAGCCAATGAAAAGACTCTGAGCTTGGTCCACTTGAGAGACAGACAACGACTAGCACTGCTGGAGTGTCCCCACACGTTGGTGGTTTCGGGTTAGGCACCACAAGTCTAAGGGGAGCAGCTTAGGGCTTCCAGAAAGCACCATGATGGGTTCCTTTAAGTGATAGTTTTCAGAATGCCCTTGTTTGTATATTTGTCTTTTTAGTCATACTTTCAGTACCCCTTCCCAGGATATCTTTTGGGGGGAAGCCTTCAAGAAGTAGTGCTTCAGGTGCCTGGATTTTAATGGAAATTAGGTGAAGGGCACTCGTTATGACCACTTTGATTTGTCACTATCTCCTTTTCAGTGCCATTATTGTGACAAGGCCTTTATGAACCAAGCCTTTCTACAGAGTCATATTCAGCGCCGTCACCCTGAAGATTCTCACCTTGGTAAGTAATGAGCTCAACTTTAATGAGCTGTTTTCTTTCTGGTAATTTTTTTTCTTTTTCCAGTGCATTTCTCAATCCTTTTAAAAGAAAGTATTGCTGTCCTTGTCCATTCATAAAATAAATATTGAGCCCCTACTATGTGCCAGGCACTGTACTAGGCATGGGGATACAGCCCCAAGTGAAACAGACTAACGCCTGTATTCTAATGGGAGGGGCAGAGGAAACACACCTAAATGAAGGAGAGATTCTTTTAAAATGGTGGCAAGTGCAATGAAGAAAACAAGTCATGAGAATGGGATGGAGAATGACTCTTGGGTAATCAGCAAAGGCTTCACTGAGGAGTTAGTATTTGATCAGAAACCACAATGATGAGAAGGTCCCAGTCTGGGGAAAATTTGAGAAATGAATGTTCTAGGCCAGGGGAACTCTGATGGTGAGAGACCGGAGGGAGAGGCAGGACGGTGTGTTTGAAGACCACACAGAAGGTTGATGGAGTAGAGTGAGCAACGCAGTGTTTGGTGATGTTGAAGAGGAAGGAGCCAGGTCCCATGGGGCCTTGAATGTGGGTATTTTTATTAGCATAATGGGAAGCCATAGGAGGATTTAAAGTATGGGGGAGACACAATCTAATTTGTACCTGAGAATGACCTGTCTAGTTGCTGGTGGAGCATTAACTGTAGGGGTAGTGGTGGAAGCAGGTAGAAGAGTGAGGAAGCTGCAAGAGTAGCCTCGGTGAGAGAAGATGGCAACTGAACCACGATGGTGCCGGGGAAGATGGGAGAAATAAAGACAGAGAGGGTGTATTTGAGGCATAGCCCACAGAGATGAAGCAAAGGCGATCCTGAATTTTTGCCTGTATGTTTGGGTGAATGGCAATGATGTTTCCCAAGATGGGAAATCTAGGGGCAAGAGGCAGGTTGAGGAGGAAGGAGAATGGAGAGTTTGTGTTGGCCATGGGTAAACTTAAGTCACACATACAAGTGAAGATGCTGGAGGTCTGGAGGTCAAGGTGGAGGCTCAGGCTAGAGATAGAATCATGGGAGTCATTAGCAGAGCTGGGTTGGATAAGATCACCTGGACAGAGAAGAGAAGATAGCTAAGGGCCAGCTCCAAGGCTCTCCCAACAGTTTATAGCCCTGTCAACAGGCCTGAGTTTGCATTTTGGGAGCTCAGGAGGAACAGCTGAGGAGAATTAGAAATAGCAGTTATGGAGGCAGGAAAGAAACCTGTGGAGTGTGTGATTATGGAAACCAAGGGAAGTAAGTGTTTCAAAAAGGAGACAATAGCCAGTTGTATCCAATGTTCCTGAGACACAGAATAAGATGAAGGCTGAGAATGGACCATTGTTAACATAGTAGCTTAGGTGGATTGGTGGGGACAAAATTCTGAATGGAATGAGCTGAGCTGAGAATCAGGTGAGGACATGGACAGATATTTAATTCAATAGTGTTTTCTGGGAAGGAGAGCAGAGACATGAGGCATTACCTGGAGGGAAATGTGGAATTGAGGGGAAATGTTTGTTTTGTTTGATGTGGGAGATACTCAGATGTGTTTGGATACAGATGTGAATTAACCGGTGTGTAGGAGGGGAAACTAAAGAAGCAGGAGAGGGAAAAGGTTTTGTGGTTTATCAAGGAACCAGGTTTCCTGGTACTTACATGTTCTCTAAAGTAAGGAATGCAACATCTAAGTGTCCACAAGCAGATCAAAGCATTCTGTAGACTGCTATCGTAATCCACAGAAAATCTTATTATAATCTTACATATTTGTAGTATATAGACCTGTGTACTTTTAGCTTGTTGCTCAGTGCCTACTTTCCTTTCCCTTTTGTGCCAATCTGTTTCCATTTCTGCCTATTTTAGATAAATAGATTTATTTAGGAATTAGCTAAGCTTTATGTAAACAATATGAACAGTTTAACATTCCATTTATAAACCATGGTCTACTAATATAATTTAGCAGTATGTTGGAGAAACTGGAAAGATTAAATATTTTAATTAATCTACCATTCTTCAGTGTGAAACTGACTTTCTTTCTCTTCTGTTTCAGTATCTTACTCTATCTCATACTCGTTTCAGAGAGCACTTCACACTCTGAAATGAGTATTATTTCTTCAGGTCATCTTTGAGATTCTGACTTTCTACTTTGGTTTCCATACCTTTCATGTCTACTCTCACAGACACATGTATATCCATTCAGTCATGTGTACATCTGCATGTAAGTACATGTACATAAATATTCCTCCTTTCACTTGTTGCTTCCTTTTACAACTTTTCAGTACCGCACTTTGCCCTGTCGACAGGTTAATGGCCCGAATTCGCCAGCCTCTTCTTGTTTTAGCACTACAGGGGTGTTCAGGGGAGTTTGGTGGGAGCAGAAGGATGCTGACCTCAGAGATTTCAATATGGAGGTACCTGCAGGGAACACCATTGCTTCCCTTCTCTGATTGAGACAGGCATCTCGAGGAAGGGCCCAGGGTTATTCCTTGTCACCATGAATGCTCCCTGAATGGGCTCTCATACTGTCTCTGTGGGATAATCCAACCTCCCCAGGGTGGCTGGAAGAATCTGCTAAAAACAACTGAATGCCCTATAATGCAAAAGTACTGCAAACAAACACTAAGTAGCAAAAATTGGCTCATGTGTTTTAGAAAAAGTAATCTCCCAAGTAAGATCACTTTCCTTTGTCTTATCAATAGATCTTTACCCCGTAAGTTTTCAGCTAGGTTTCATATGCACAGGTTTCATAGTTTAACAAGATATTTCTGTTGCAACAGAGTACAGGAAAAAGGAGCTGACCCATAAGCTCCAGAATGAGGTCGACATGTTGAAGGAGCAGCTGCAGCTCACCAAGTCTCAGTTAGAGGCTTCACAGCACGCCCACGCAGTCAGATTCTCTGAGGTGAGAGACCAAATTTCCAAACAATGGTATGTTGGGAAGGATCAGCAGTAATTCCTTTTATTTATTTATTTTAAAAATATATTTCATTGATTTTTTACAGAGAGGAAAGGAGAGAGATAGAGAGTTAGAAACATGGATGAGAGAGAAAATCCATCAGTTGCCTTCTGCACACCCCTCACTGGGGATGTGCCTGCAACCAAAGTACATGCCCTTGACCGGAATCGAACCCGGGATGCTTGTCTGCAGGCCGATGCTCTATCCACTGAGCCAAATCGGTTTTGGCAATAATTCCTTTTAAATGTTTGTAGAATTCACCAATGAAGCCATATCGTCCTGGGCTTTTCTTTGTTGGGAGTTTTGTTTTTTGTCTGTTTTTTTTTTGTTTTGTTTTGTTTTTTTGTTTTTGTTTGTGTGTGTGTGTGTGTGTGTGTTTTAATGTATTTTTTAAAAATATTTTTTTTCTTGTTTTCAGAGAGGAAGAGAGAGGAGAGAGAGACAGAAACATCCATGATGAGAGGGAATCACTAATCCACTCTCTCCTGTATGCCCCCTACTGGGGATTGAGCCCACAACCCGGGCATGTGCCCTGACTGCTGGTTTCTAGGTCAATGCTCAAACACTGAGCCATGCTAGCTAGGCTGTTGGGAGGTTTTTTTTTTTTTTTTTTTTATTACTGATTCATTTTCCTTACTCCTTAATGCTCTGTTCAGATTTCATATTTCTTCATGATCAGTGTTGGTGTAGGTATGTATGTTTGAAGGATTTTACCCATTTCTTCTAGATTGCCCAATTTGTTGGCATATAATTGTTGCTGGTAGTTTTTTATCCTTTGTAATTCTGTGCTATCGGTTGTAATGTCCCCTCTTTCATTTATAATTTTATTTGAGTCCTCTCTCTTTCTTGGTTAGTCTAGCTCAGTGGTTGGCAAACTCATTAGTCAACAGAGTGGCAAACTGTGGCTCGCGAGTCACGCCGCAGTTTGCCGACCACTAAAGGTTTCTCAATTTTTTCAAAAAACCAACTCTTAGTTTTGTTGATCTTTTCTGTTGTTTTCCTATTCTCTATTATATTGATTTCTGCTCTAATTTATTATTTCCATCCCTTTGCTAACTTTGGGCTTTGTTCTTTTTTTTCTTCTTCTAGTTATTTGAGGTGTAATATTAGGCTGTTTATTTGTGATTTCTTTCTTAATATAGTTGTTTATAGCTATTAAAGTTTCTTAGAACTGCTTTTGTTGCATCCCATAAGTTTTAGTATGTTGTTTCCATTTTCTTTTTTCTCAAGATATTTAAAAAAATATTTTTATTGATTTCAGAGAGAAAGAGAGAGATAGAAATATTGATGATGAGAATCATTGATTGGCTGCCTCCTGCATGCCCTCTCAATCCATGCCTGTGGATTGAGTCCACAACCCTGGCTTGTGCCCTTGATCAGAATCCAACCTGGGACATCGATCCATAGGCCGACGAGTGGACTCTTCAGTCCACTGAGCCAAACCAGTGAGGGCTGAAGATATTTTGATTTCTTTTTTATTTTTATTTTTATTTTTTTTTTGCGCCCCTCCCTCCGTCCCACACATCCCCTCCCTCCCCAGAGTTTTATGCCCATTGGTTGTACTTATATGCATGTATACAAGTCCTTCGGTTGATCTATTATCTACCCCAGATCCTCCTCCCCTCCCTGCTGTAATTTGATGATTTCTTTTTTTTAAATCTATTATTTGATTTATTGGTTGTTCAGATGTGTGTTGTTTGATTTTCACATATTTGTGAATTTTCCATCTATTACTAATTTGTAGTTTCATATTACTGAGGTCAAAAAAAGATTCTTGAGCCCTGACTGGTTAGTTAAATTACAGCATCATCATAATATGCCAAGGTTGCAGGTTCAATCCCTGGTCAGGGCACATACAAGAATCAACCAAAGAATGCATAAATAAGTGAAATAACTAATCAATGTTTCTCTCTTTCTCTCCCTTCTCTCTCCCTAAAACCAATTACAAAAATGAAAAAATAAAATAAAATAAAAGTTGCTTGATATAATTTCAGTCTTCTTGAATTTGTCAGTACTTGTTTTGTGATCTCTCTTAGAGAATGTTCCGTGTGCACTAAGAATGTGTGTCTTCTGCTTTATGTTCTGTATATGTCTGTAAGGTCCATTTGATCAATAGCAGCAATTTTCAAACAGTGTGTTGCAAGAATTTTTAAAACATAAAATATATGCAATATCTAACAATTTACTCAGGGGCACTGACCTCTTTTCCCTTAGATTGTTAAGTTAAAAAAAAAAATGACAACAGCCAACACAACAATAGCCATCTGGTGTGAATCAGTTAAAATTATACCTATTTTTCTTGTCAGATCAGGAAAAATCTATTTTTTGGTGTGCCACAGAATTTAATTTAATTTTATTTTATTTTATTTTATTTTATTTTATTTTATTTTATTTTATTTATTTTATTTTATTTTAAAATATATTTTATTGATTTTACACAGAGAGGAATTGAGAGGGACAGAGAGTTAGAAACGTCGTTGAGAGAGAAACGTCGACCAGCTGCCTCTTGCACACCCCCCACTGGGGATGTGCCTGCAACCAAGGTACATGCCCTTGACTGGACTCGAACTGGGACCTTTCAGTCCGCAGGCTGATGCTCTATCCACTGAGCCAAACCGGTCCTGGCAATGCCACAGAATTTTAAATTTTTTTTAAAAAAATATATTTTATTGATTTTGTACAGAGAAGAAGGGAGAGAGATAGAGAGTTAGAAACATCGATGAGAGAGAGTCATCAATCAGCTGCCTCTTGCACACCCCCTACTGGGGATATGCCCGCAACCAAGGTACATGCCCTTGACCGGAATCGAACCTGGAACCTTTCGGTCCCCAAGCAGACGCTCTATCCATTGAGCCAAACCGGTTTCAGCATTGCCACAGAATTTTAGTAATCAGTTTATATGTGCCATGAGATGAAAAAGGTTGAAAATCACTGATCTATAGTGTTGTTCAAATCCTGTTTTTCTTCATTGATTTTCTATCTGGATGATCTATCCATTGTTGAGAGCAGGGTATTAAAACCCTCTATTATTGCATTGCTGTTTATTTCTCTTTTTTGTTCTATTTGCTTTATATATTTAGGTGCTCAAATGTCGAATGTATAAATATTTATAATTCTTATATCTTTATGATGAATTCACTCCTTTATCATTATAGAATGACCTTCTTTGTCTTTTGAGATTTCTTTTTAATGTAGGCATTTACAGCTCTAAATTCCCCTCTGGGCACTAATTGGCTGCTTCCCTTTTTTGGTGTGTTGTGCTTTAATTTTTATTCATCTTAAAGTATTTTCTAATTACCCTAGTGCAGTGGTCGGCAAACTTATTAGTCAACAGAGCAGCAAACTGTGGCTCGCAAGCTGCAGTTTGCTGACCGCTGCCCTCGTGACTTTAAGAGTATGTCCGTTATTCTTCACATATTTTTATTTTTCAGTTTTTCTTCTGTAATTGTTTTCTGACTTTATTCCATTGTGGTTGAAGAATATACTTTGCATGATTTCAATCTTTTAAATTTTATTGAGACTCATTTTGTGGCCTAACACATGGTCTCTTCTGCTGAACCTCCTGTGTGCATTTATCAAGACTGCATATTCTGTCATTGGGTGTAGTGTTCTGTCTGTATATGTTTATTAGGTCATGTTTGTATATAGTTTGCTCAAGTCCCCAGTTAGGTTAAAAAAAAAAAAAAAAACCCCTGAAGATCATTGAGAAATCAAAGGCTGTGTTTTGGGGGGTGAGATACCCAAATTGATATGAAATCAAGAAAGGCCAATGGATTTGGTCTTTTAAAGTATATTTACACTTTATATATGATTGCATGTCAACACTACAAGTTCACAAATCACAGAACTCTTGATACTTTGGGCATTTGTATTTTAAGGATGTAAGAATGTATATTGCCTTTGGTTTGTAAAAATTGCTGTGTACACACCTGCCATTGTACTAAGTGTTATTGCAAGCCTTACTGAAATATGCAATACTAGCTGACATATTTGAGGTGAAGCTCTGCCCTTTGATTTAAAATTGTATGTATTTGCTTTACATCAGAACTTTTAAAACCATGTTTTAAAATAATTTCAGGAATATGAAATTCAGAAAACAAAAGAGGAAGAATTTCTGAAGTTATTTCATAGGTGGAAGGAAGAAGAAAAGGAGAAATTTGTTGATGAAATGGAAAAATTCAAGGAAATGTGCAAGAAGGAGTTTAAAGAATTAACTTCTAAGAATTCAGCATTAGAATATGTAAGTATTAACCTGAGAAGTCCTCATAGTACCTGTAAAATTGTTGCCTTGAAAGGTGGTGTTAAAGCGGCATTATGACCACTTGATCCAAACATTTCTTTCTTTCTTTCTTTTTTTAAAAAATATATTTTATTGATTTTTTTAAAGAGAGGAAGGGAGAGGGATAGAAAGTTAGAAACATCAATCAGCTGCCTCCTGCATACCCCCAACTGGGAATGTACCTGCAACCAAGGTACATGCCCTTGACCGGAATCGAACCCGGGACCCTTGAGTCCGCAGGCCGATGTTCTATCCATTGAGCCAAACCAGTTTCGGCTAAACATTTCTTAATTGTGCCCAGGCCCAGACACCCCTCATCCCTGAGAATTCTGAGGAATCTTGAGACATATAGAAGACATAGCAAGTCAGAAAAGTAGGAACTTTGTTTATTTGATTGGATGATAGAACAGGGTCCCTCTTTCACTAGCCAGTTAAGTTTAGAAAAGCTTAAACCATAAACCATTCCCTGAGTTGGAACTTCCCAGGAAAGGCTGACACAGATCACCAGTGTGGGAGGGAAAGGAAGCCAAGTAATTCAGAAAGACAGAGGGAGGGCCTTTGGTAGGCCTGGCTGGTCTGGAGCAGGCAGAATGTGGCTAAATGAGCCCCTCTCCCCTGTGGAAGTGGCCTGGCCCTGGTTACATGCATAGATGACAGAGACACGCCTTGCTGGGCTGGGACCTTCATCTCCTGTGAGCTTCTACAGATCATGGCCCCTGTCATCCAGCTAAGAATGACCTGAGGTTGCTGGACAGCTCAGTGCTAAGTGATCCTTAGGGAAAAAGAAACAAGGGACACAAGGGAAGATCTTTGAGCTCCCTCTAGGGGCCAACACGTTGTATAAACTAAAACAAGAGGGATATTTTTGGAATACTTGGATATTTTGGATCCTTCTCTAAAATGCACCCTGAACTCTCACATAAGAGTAGGCAAACCACCTGTGAACCAGATCTGACCCACCCCTGAATTTGTATGGCTCTTGACCTAACAAAGGTTGTTACATTTTTCAATGGTTGAAAAAGCTAAAAGGAGAATATTTTGTGACATAGGAAAAGTATATGACGTTCCCATTTCAGTGTCCACAAGTAAATTTTTTTTAGAACACAACCACGCTCATTCCTTTACACTATGTCTATGGTGCTCTTGTGCTGGGTCTGTAGAGTTGAGTGGTTATGACCAAGACCCTATGCATCTAGCAAAATTAGAAATGTTTGCTATCTGGCTCTTCACAAGAAAAGTATGACAGCCCCTCTCATACCTTCATGGGCAGAAGGTTAACAATTGGAGAAGGTGAAATGGATGTTTATGGTACTGTTCTTGTACCTTTCAAAGTTGTAATTTCAAAAAAAAGTTGGGGGGAAATAATATCGATGGCTCTCTGTATCTTTTCTGTAGGCATTCCTTCAGGAAACTTCCTGTGGGTTTAGTTAGCCCCATATTATCTTTCCTTGGTGGCTGCTCTTCTTCCTAAGCATCAGAGCCCACAGGCAGTAGTTCTGTCTCTATTCATGATTTCCTCCACCACCCACGGCCTCTCCAAAACTCATATCTGTGGCCCCTTCTCAAAGGGCTACCATGTTACCCACAGGAGTGGCTTTTGATACTAACCAGATTAAGACTGACTTCTTTAAAAAAAAAAAAATTTTATTATTGATTTTTTTACAGACAGGAAGGAAGAGGGATAGAGAGCTAGAAACATCGATGAGAGAGAAACATAGATCAGCTGCCTCCTGGACACCCCCTACTGGGGATGTGCTCGCAACCAAGGCATCGAACCTAGGACCCTTCCATCCGCAGACTGACGCTCTATCCACTGAGCCAAACCAGTTTCAGCTTAAGACTGACTTCTTATGTTTTCCCCATGAAAGCCACTGCCAATTACCATCCTTTTACCTGAGATTCCCTCCATGGGCCTATCCCCAGTTCTCTGCCCCTAGGGTAATTTGTAGAATAGGACTTTTCCCCACAGCTTAAAAAAACAACCCTTTATTGAGATATAGATCACATACCCTACAGTTCACCCACTTAAAGTGGACAATTCAGTGGTTTTTAATGTTTACGTACTTATGAAACCATAATCATAGTCATTTTAGGACATTTTATTACCCTAAGAAGAAACTTTGTAACCCATTGACATTCTTCCCAAACCACTCCTCACCCCCAACCCGTGGCAACCACGGATCTACTTTCTGTCCCTATGGATCTGCTTATTCTGGACATTTCATATAAATTGAACCATACAATATGTGACCTTTTGTGAGTGGCATCTTTCACTGGTATAATGTTTTCAAAATTCATCCATATTTTAATATTTGTCAATATTTTTTGTTGTTGTTGCTGAATTATTTTCCATTGTCTGGAATAACCATATTTTATTTGTGTATGCATCAATTCGTGGAATTTGTGATGTTTGCCCTTTTTGGCTTTCAACAGATTTTAAATGATTAAAATGGGGTATTTTTTTAGAACAGAGGTAAGTTTATAGAAAAATTGAGCAGATAGTTCAGAAATAAGCTCCTCTTTCCTACCTTGTACATTTTGAAATATCTGGACATCTTAAATTGGTGGATTTGTTACAACTAATGAACCAATATTGATGTATAATTAAAGTTCATTTTTCTTTCCGATTTCTTTGACTTTTACCCAATGTTCTTTCTCTACTTGAGGATCTTATTTAGACACCATAGTACATTTAGTTGTCATGTCTGCTTAGGCTCCTGTCTGTGACAGTCAGATTTGTTTCTGATGACCTGGACAATGTATATTGTAGGATGCCCCTCTATTAGAATTGATTTGATATTCTTCTAATGGTCAGACTGGGCTTACAGGGTCTGGGGAAGAAGACCTCAGAATTAGAGTGCAATTTTCATTACATCACATCAAGGGTATATACAATCTAAATGACTTATGGTATTGATATTGATCTTGACCACTGGTTGAGGTCACATCTGTCAGGTTTCTCCATCAAAAAGTAACCACCCCCTATTTCATATTGTTCACACTTGGCAAAGAAGTCTCTAATTGCAGCCCAGTAAAGGGTAAAATTAAAATGTTATGTTCGTCATGGGTTCACAGATGTCATCCTGGATGAAGCTGGCCTCGTCACTAAATTATCTTGAGAACCAGCTGCGCCCAGTTCCTTTGTTTTTGGCAACTGTAATGTGCCAATCAAAAATTTATTTTATTTTATTTTTTTATTATTACATATTTTGCCAATCAAAAATTTTAAGACACATTGCCCAAGACCAGAAAGTTAGGTCTTCCTTTCCCTTTTTAATCCTGTGCATGTTCCTTTGTTGGAAGAAACAAAAGAAAGAAACCACTGGAAAGGAGAAGCAAGAGCATCCAATAGGATAGTCAGATTTAAAACATGGGTACATGCTCCCCAACTTTATTTCTGTTTCAGTCTTACAAAAATATAAACATTTATATCGGTGGTTTTTGTTTTTTATTTTATAGCAATTGTCAGAAATCCAGAAGTCCAATATGCAGATCAAGTCCAACTTAGGCACGTTAAGAGATGCCCACGACTTTAAGGAAGAGCGTCCTCAATATGCCCAAGATTTCCAAAATGTGATGCAATTTCTTGATAGTCAGGTATGTGAAAGCGGGCAATAACTGTGGCTGAGGCCTCACTTTTCCTAGGGGAGTAATTTACAGCAAGCGTCTTCTACAGAAAAAGTATTTATGTCTTTCAGTGACCATGAAGGCAGCTGATTCTATTTTCTTGTCTTCTAATACATGCATAATTCATAATAGGTGTTCACTAGCTGCTTGTTAATTAACCGATGTGGGTACAAAACAGTTGGCAAAATTGTTTCATTTTCCCTTAAGATAATAGATCATTTGTATTGGTTAACATTATCTCAGTGTCTGTTCAGATGTAGGTCTCAGTTTCAAAAGGCATGGAAAGGCTAACTTTATTATTAGAGCTAAAACATACAAACTGCCTTGGTGAACTAATGAGCTTTTACATTTATCAAACATAATTGCATGCTGGTTTAGGGGGACATTGTGTATTACCAGGAAACAAATAGAGATCAAAGTTTATAATTTCAGGATTATTTTAAAAAGCAGTAATAAATAGCCAGGGGAAGGTCAAGGGGGGGGGGAGGGGAAGGAGACATATGCACTACTATTTGTAATACTTTAAACAGTAAGAAAATTTAATAAAAAATAAAAATAAAAAGCAATAATACTATAGAAGCTTCTAATTAATTTCAGAGAGAAGGAGGGGGTGAGGGGCGTGGCAGGGAGTGACTAACCAAAAACTTTAATGCATATATGCACAGCCGATGGACACAGATAACAGAGAGGTGAAGGTCTGGGAGGGGTGGGTGCAGGGTGAAGGGGGTCCAGGGGGGGGGGGAATAAAGGGGACATCTATAACACTTTCAACAATAAAGATTTTTTTTTAAAGTAATAATACATCATCTTAAAAAATAAGCATGTTTTGGAAATATGAACAGTCACTGCAGCTTGTCTTGCCTCTCACGTCTTGCTTCCCTCCCACAAATCTACTGTCCACTCCACGTTACAGGCAGCTGACCACGTCCCTGTCCTGTCTAGAATTTTTCAGTGGCTCCCTGTTTTTCACAGAACAAAGTCTCGGTCCTTTAGCCAGCACTCCAGGCCCCTGAGGATCTGGATCCAATGTCATCTGCCACCTTTCTTGGCTTTGCCAGCAGCAGCGCCAAACAGCAGAAACGTGGCATTCTGCTTTCTGCTTTTGCTCTTGTGGCTTTCTTTGCCAAGCAGCTCCCCGTTGCAGGACCTGCAGTTTACTGATTCAGCTGGGGCAGCACCGCTTCAGAGAGTCCTTCTGGAGTCCTTCCCCAGCAGGACTCGATCACATGTGCATTGTGTGGGAACTCTATTGTTCGGTCCACCTCCCTCCCATACAGGGAAGGACCTTCCTCTCTGTCCTGCCCAGCGAGGTGTCTGGTACGTGGTAGGGGACCAGCTGTTGACAGTTGCTCCAGCAGGCTGGTCTCTCATGAATTAAAGGACCCAGTTATAAAGTCCTAAGGTCCCACCTAAATATCTCCTGTCTCCTTCCTGTGAGCTGTGTTGTCAATTCAGAACACATGGACTTAGAAAACATAGTGTTTCCCTCTAGTTTCTTAGTTTGGCCAGTTAGTGTGTGTGTGTGTGTGTGTGTGTGTGTGTGTGTGTGTGTGTGTGTGTATGTGTATGTGTATGTGTGTGTGTGTGTGTGTATATATATGTATATATATATATTAATATATATATATATATAATTTTAAAAAAATATATTTTATTAATTTTTCACAGAGAGGAAGGGAGAGGGAGAGAGAGTTAGAAACATCGATCAGCTGCCTCCTGCACACTCCCCAACGGGGATGTGCCCACAACCAAGGTACATGCCCCTGACCGGAATCGAACCTGGAACCCCTCAGTCCGCAGGCCAACACTCTATCCACTAAGCCAAACTGGTTTTGGCAACACCAATATATTTTAAAACAAAATTTCATTGGAACAGAGCTATACCCATTCATTTAGATTTTTGTCTTTGGCTGTTCTGCTATCACTAGAAGTAGTGACCCAGGCATCTGACTCCAAGAGCTAAAATACAGGGATGGACAACGGTAGGTTTGCAGTTGTTCAAATGGAAAAAAGTCATGCAGATTATGATTATTACAATAGCTTTATCAACTCAAGTGGATGTCACAATGCAACTGTAAATCTTCTTTTCCCACCCCTGTATTTACTATTAGTCCCTTCACAGAAAATGTTTGCTGACACCTGCCTTAGAGTGGGGGTGGGCAGGGGCTGTGGAGAGGGGTTAAGGGGGGACTAATGGGAGACATCTATAATACTGTCAGTAATTAAAAATAAATTAAAAATGTACAAATGTGTTCAACCATTTTGACTGTATATATTCTAAAAATGCCTGCTAACATTTTACCCAATAGTTGGGTTTCCTAGGTACTCACTAAAAAGAAAGATTCCATTTTGAATAGATTTCACCTTTACAGTTGCACATAAATTACTCTTTTACTGTTTCCTAGGAAAACAAGTGGACAGCTCGCATTCAAGCTCTTCATCAAGAACATGAAAAAGAGAAGGATCAGGTAAGATTAAGAAACCACCTCTATGTTCATTGCAGCATTATTTACAATAGTCAAGATATACAAGCAACCTAACTGTCCATCAATAGACAGATGGATAAAGAACATGTAGTACATATTACAATGAAATATTAATCAGCTATAAAAAAAATAAAGAAATCTTGCCATTTGTGACAACATGGATGGACCCAGAGTGTATTATCGTAAACGAAATAAATCAGACAAAGGTAAATACCATATGATTTCACTTACATGTAGAATCTAAAAAATGAAATAAACGAAGAAACTCAGATTAAAGAGAACAAATTGGTAGTTGCCAGATGGAAGGGGGTTTGGAGGATAAGTGCAAAAGGTGAAGGGATAAAGAAGCACACATTGGCAGTTATAAAAATAGTTGTAGGGATGTAAAGTACAGCATAGGGAATAAAGTCAATAATTCAATATAATAAAAGCCCAGCAACCAAATGGCAGAATGACCAGAACTACCAGTTGACCAGTCGCTATCATGAGCACACAGGAGCTGCCCCCTGGTGATCAGTGAGCTCCCACAGTGAGAGTGCCACTGGGATGACTGGGCTGAGCAGTGCTCCCTCAGCAGGCTGGCAGACCATGCCCCCACCAGTGCATGAATCCTGTATGTATGGTGTCAGATGGGTACTAGAATTATCAGAGTATTACTTCCTAAGTTATATAAAGGTCATATCTCTATGTTGTACACCTGCAAGTAATATAATTTTGTATGTCTACTGTATCTGGAAACAAAAAAACAAAAAATAAATCAATGAGCTATAAATGGGTCATTTTTGCAAAAGATATTTGTTTTTCTTTATAATTAAGATAGTATTTTTTTACCTATAGTTTGTGAAGAAATGTATAGCAAAAAATTAAAATTACTTATAATTTCAATACCAAAGATAACCACTGCTACTGTTACTTAATAAATTCTTCATTATTGAATACATTTCTAATTTTTTCATTCAAAGTGGCAGTCTAAATAATTTTTAAATAAAGGCAAGGATTATTCACAATAAAACCATTTTTATGAAATCAAAATTTAATTATAACACTGATTCCCTTTCAGCTGCGTGTATAGAAATTTATGTGTCAAAATGATTTTACACTAGTGCAAACATTTTTTTATTTTTTCACTTTCAATTGTTTGTATTTTGTAGCCTTTGGATCCTCTGTGTCTGTGTGTGGGTGGCTTAAAAACATATTTATTTCTCACTGTTCTAAAGGTTATGATTCTGGGTGTTAATCAACTCAGTTTATGGTGATAGCCCTCTTGCAGAAGGCCACTGTATTGTCACATGGCAGAGAAGGTAGGGGTGAGGGTGGGGAGAAAAGGAAGGGAGGGAGAGAAAGCTCAGGTCTTTTATTATAAGGGCACTAATTCCATCCCATATGAGGACCCTACCTTTAAGACTTTATAAACCTAATGACCTTCCAAAGACCTCATTTCCTAATACCATCACTTTGGATTGGGGATTCACCAGGAATTTTGGGGGGACACAAACATCATGTCTATAAGGCCAAGGGAAAGGGATTAATCAGGGCCTGTGGTCTGGGGGTGCAAACTTGAGCCATTTTAGATTTCTGCCTCTTACACCCTCCTCTGGCCTTGCTTTACATTTCATCAGCAACTGCTTAATCTAAGTAAGGTAGTCCCCTCCCTTTATTATTCTCACCACTTCATGAGTGTAGCTGTGATCACTATTTTAAACCATTTTTTACTTACTTGTTTACTTATTAAATTTCTGCTTCTCCAACCAGATCCCTAGCCCTACAAGGAAGGGGTTCTGTTTAGTTCTCCATTATAATCCCAACATTCAACAATGTGCCTAAAAAGTGATTGAAACTCCTTAACTATTTTGCTAGATCTCCAAAAAGGGATCATTCGACCATGTTTCTGGGGATGGAGAAATGCTAATTGTAAGGTTTGGAAGAGCAGAGATGAAAGGGTTGTCTGTCCGTATGAGTATGGCACTTGAACCCGTGCCCTTTTAACCGTAGGGCCCTGCTTGTGTGCCTCACTGCCTTGCTTACTTCTCTGGTGGTGGGCACTTAGCCAGCTGGGGAGGGAAATAGACAGGGGCAACTTAGCCAGTTTTTCTGTAAGAATGTTCTAGTTTTCCTTTGAGATGCTCAAAGGTGGTAGTTCCTAAAGAGGGTTGCCCTTCAGAACGACCCTAGGCTCTTTTCCAGAATACACATGTGCCACTGTACAACGTGAGATTCCCCTTCCATAGGTAAGTCTGGGATAGGCATATTTGGTTGGGAGAAAAAGGGAGAGACACCAAAAAAACCAAACCTGGAAAATTCTGTCTTGGATCCATGTTTTGAACCATTGCTCTTAGATTATTTGAAGTTCCTGCTCTTTTTTTTTTTTTAAATATATATTTTATTGATTTTTTTTACAGAGAGGAAGGGAAAGGGACAGAGAGCTAGAAACATTGATGAGAGAGAAACATCGATCAGCTGTCTCCTGTACACCCCCCACTGGGGATGTGCCCACAACCAATGCACATGCCCTTGACTGGAATTGAACCTGGGACCGTTCAGTCTGCAGACCAATGCTCTATCCACTGAGCCAAACCGGTTTTGGCTGAAGTCCCTGCTCTTATTGTTCAAGGCATCTTAAAGTACTGGTATCTAGGGACAGAATTACGGTCTTCCTAATGAATAGGGGTTAGTTTTAATCCTTGGTCTTTTAAGGAAAGCAACTTGTATTCCAGGCAGCTGTGGGGAAGTCAGTGGCCTCCTGGCACAATAAAATGCACGTTGCAGAGTTTTACACTTACCACTGCAAGTCATGCTAGAGAGGAGCAACTGTTGGTTCCCAGTGAGGCGCCTCATTTCACAGATTGGGAGTGTGGAGTGTCTGTGCCGCCGCTAGGCTATGCTGCTTCCTTGTCTGTTGGTTTTGTTTGTTCAGAAGCTGCTGACTTCTGCCTTCATTTTCCTAACAGAGGGGTGAATTCAATCAGTGTAGTCATCTCTGCCTGAGACCTAACTATTAATTATTCCACATGATTGGTGCCTACTGTTCCTACAATGCACATATTGTATTTCTCTGTTTAGGGGAAATTGCGTTTGCCAGCTTTTTATTGCTTTACCTAGATTGTTGGCAGTCGTTTTATTTTTATTTTTAAATGACATTGGTAGGAGTTCAAAGAGAGTCACAGATAAATGATGGTATACCCTTTTGACCCAATTGAGAAATTGTAGAATGGTCAGGAAAGGAGGATGGTATGATGTGATAGGGAAAAAAAAGCAAAGACTTGAAGTGGTCGAAGATCATAACAGATGGGCTCAAAGAGCTACAGGTTTGTTGAAATATCTGTTGGTGAGATGATCGCATTCCTCTCTCAGTGAACTTTTATGTAACTTTGTGGTCATTTTTCACTTCTAATATCAAAGTGGTATCATCCCCTAGGTTTTCCTATGTCCTCTTTCTTCTTGGGGCCTGGAATGACCCCCATATTATTATTATTTTTTAAAAATATATTTTATTGATTTTTTTACAGATAGGAAGGGAGAGGGATAGTTAGAAATATTGATGAGAAAGAAACACCGATCAGCTGCCTCCTGCACACCCCCTACTGGGGATGTGACCGCAACCAGGGTACATGCCCTTGACCGGAATTGAACCTGGGACCCTTCTGTCCGAAGGCTGATGCTCTTTCCACTGAGCCAAATCAGCTAGGGCGACTCCTCATATTATTGATCCTAAACTTCTACCCAGAATCCCACACATCTTTACTGGCTTTTACTTCTATTTTCCAGCTCCATGTTTCCCAAACTGCTTTTGGAGGCACCCTTCCAGTTATTTGTAAAAATGTAGAAAAGATTCTTGACAATGTCCTCCTTGGGGGAAAATTCTTAGCATCCACTAGGATATGAAAGGATATTTTCAGTCCTCACTCGGGAAACCTTTTTTTAACTTGGTTTAACCCAGTGTTTGTCTAACCTCATGCAAGCACAGAGCGCCTCAGATGGGGGACTCTGCAGTGTATTGATTGAGAGCATTAACTTTTGGTTGTTGTTGTTTTTTAATGTGATTGGACTATTTTTAGAGCAATGTTAGCTTCACAAGAAATTGAGCAGAAAGCACAGAGAATTTGTAAATACTCCCTGCCCCCATACCCAGTAAGCACAGCCTCCCCCACTATCAACATTCCATACCAGAATGGTACATTTGTTACAATCAATGATCTTACAGTGACACGCCATTATCGTCCACAGTCCAAAGCTTACTTGAGGGTTCACTCTTGGTATTCCGTATTCTGTAAGCGTGGGTAAGTGACAAGCATCTACCATTACAGTTTCATCCAGAATACTTTTACTGCTCTAAAGGTCCTCTGGGCTCTGCCTATTCATTCCTCCCTTTCCCCTAACCCCCTATCTTTTCACTATTTCTGGACTTTTCCCTTTTCCAGAATGTCATATAGTTGGATCCATACAGGATATAGCCTTTTTAGATTGGCTTCTTCCACTTAGTAATATACATTTAAAGTTCCTCCAAGTCTTTTCATGGCTTGATAGCTTTTTTAATGCAGAATAATATTCTATTGTCTGGATGGACCACAGTTTATTTACCCATGCATCTAGTGAAGGGCATTTTGGTTGCTTCCAAATTTTGGCAATGTTGATTAAAGCTGCCATATACATCTGTGTGCAGGTTTCTGTGTGGACATGAGTTCTCAACTCCTTTGGGTAGATACCAAGGAGCATGAATGCTGGATTGTATGGTAAGAATATGTGCAGTTTTATAAGAAACTGCCAAACTGTTTTGTAAAGTGGCTGTACCATTTTGCATGAGTTCCTGGTGGCTGCTTGATTGTGTACAAGTATTATTTATTTATATCTTTCATAACATAGACACTACATTTGGGAGTGTTGACTTTGAAACCAGGCAGGAAAGTTCAAATCTGGGCTCTTCCCCCTCTAGCTGTCTGAGTCTTTCAAATGCTTAACACAGCCTCTAGCAGATGACCAGTCATTGGTTAAAAACACACACACACACACACACACACACACACACACACACACACAAAAAAAAAAAAAACCACAAAAAAACACAAAAAAACAAAAAACACAAAAACACAAAAAAACAAGCAAGTAAAAAATGCTGCTCCAGACACCTTTTGTGTCCCTCACAGGCATGGTTACTCTCTCTCCCGCCCCTCTTATTTGTTCTGTACATCTCTGTCTCCATTCCCACACCGTAGGCTTGGAATGTCCTCAGCTCCAATTACCAACTTTCTCTCCCCACCCTCCACCCCTTCTGTTTAAGCAATTACTGAAAGAGCTTTAAGAATCTTTTCCTAGCCCTAACCAGTTTGGCTCAGTGGATAGAGCGTTGGCCTGAGGACTGAAGGGTCTTGGGTTCGATTCCAGTCAGGAGCACGTTTAATTCTGTTGCAGTCTATCCCAGGCCCCGGGGGCCCAATGCGGGAGGCAATCAACTGATGTGTCTCTCTCACGTCGATGTTTCTGTCTGTCCCTCTCCTTTACACATTCTCTAAAAAATCAATAGAAAAATATCCTTAGGTAAGGATTAGCAAACAAATAAATAATCTTTCCCTAATTTACTGAAAACAAATTATTCTTGAATTCTTTTCATTTAATATATGATGTCCCCTGACACTAATCTCTAAAGATGAATCTATCTATGAGTCTTTGGATCTCTCTGTCCTTTGCATCTCTCCCTTTCTCTTCTTTCAGTCATTCCTTCCTTCCTTCCTTCCTCTTCTCCTCTTTTTTCCTCTGCCCTCCTCCCTCCACCTTCCTTTTCTCAATAAGTATTCACTGAGAACCCGCAGAACCAGAGATTGTGGTAGTGGCTGAACATGTAAACATAATCAAGATGGGCTCTCTCGCCCAAGGAGTGCACATTTGTGCCAGGACAGCACATGTGGACGTGGGAAGGACAGTACTGCTTGGGGTCGCAGCCGCTCTGTGGAGAAGCCTTGGCCCTTTGTCATCGATCATCCCTGTGTTATTTCATGTAATGTGCTCAAGTTCACTCAGCTGTTCACATTATCAGTGATGTCTGTCAGCTTCCTAGCAACAGAAATGAAGTCCCTTGTCCAGCCAGAGCCTTGGTACCCAGTGACCAAAGATTTACTCCATAGCTTAGTAGGCACAGATAACATAAGGCCAGGCATGCACATATACACTGCAGAAGACAGTTTCCATGCAATGTGCAGACTGATGCCTTTCTTAATTCTTTTTCCAGCTCCTGTCACATATAGAGAAACTTCAAAATTTAATGATAGATAGTCTAAATGCAAACAATGTTTTCTACAAGAAAAGGATGGAAGAGCAAGGACAGAGATTCCAGGAACACATTGAACCGATTATCAATCAGAGACCACAGGTATTCTTGGCTATCTATGGGCACTGGTTTTCTTTAAGCAGAGCAATTTATCTAAGAACATGCTTATTTTAGAACATTTGTAAGTTGGACAAAGATGGAAATTTTTTTTCTATAGTTGTTTGTAAAAGTAAATTCAATCAAATAATTTTTAAAAGGTATTTAAAAATACTATAGAGCAGATTTATTCAATTAGAATTCAGAACAAATTTGCAGGTGGATAAGAATTTCCTTTTGTGATTACTTTGAGAAGCAGCTGAGTCCAGATGCTGCTTTCATAAAACTCTTGTCTTTAAAGTTCATTTGTCCTCCCTTGTCTTTGGAGGATTTTATGAGAAGATTAATTTACTAAGTCCAGTATCTATCCATTATCCAATATGTTCCTATCTGATTTCAAACATGTTGCCCTAGAAGATTGTTTTTCTTTGCAGATAAAAGAATTTACCAGTAAACCAGTAAACTGTGTCATTGAACCCAAAGGTAAGCGGACCAGGATTCCAGTGCTGGAGGAAGGCAGGCTCCCTCACCATTGTCTGGGCATCAGAAGAATGTGGGGTCCAGTGGCTTATGGGTGCTAAGATGGCATTCTTCTGGCTATTTTAATTCGAGAGATCCTTTATTGCAACCTAGAAAGTTGAAGGATTTTAAATACCTAAATGATTATTGAATGGTCTCCCATAATTTTCATCAGAATATTGTTATGCTCAGTAACATTTTTCCTCTGTACGCATGTCAGTCAATGGAGTGATGATTATAAGGGTCTGGAGACAGACTGCGCTCAACTCCCATCTCTGGCACTTTGTAGCTTTGTGAGTCTCTGCCTCAGTTTCCACAGTTCTAAAGTTGGAATATTAATAATAACTTTATCTTAGGGCTGTTACAGGGAGGACGTGTGAAAAGCACTCCTATTAAACATTTGTAAGCTATTGTCATTGATAGTGAAACCAATTATTATGAAGTACTGGAGAAGCTAACTGCATTATTCTCACTTGCAGTTGTTTGGGGTTACGGGTTTGTCCTAAGCATAGCGAGGGCACATTCAACCTGCTACTAACTGTAGCAATGATAGCACCCAGGTCTGTGTCATTCAAGAGAGAGTCTGGATGGGAGACTGGCAGCCAGAAGTCCAGGGTCTCACAATAAAACATGAAGCTTGCCTTCCGCTGGTCTCCTTCCAAGTGATCCCATCTTTCCTGCACGTCTCAGGTTGTTAAGGCACCTTGTCTACTCAAGAGGCTAACGGGACTAACTGGGATTGGAAAGGGCCGTATGAGCTGGGTTTTCTCTCTGTTTCAGGAAAGACATTGACCTGCACACTGGTTTCCTTCTTGTTTTGCGAGAGAGGTTTGGGAAGGACCATACTTCCCTATAACTTCTCTTTGAATAGTATTGATGAATACCTGTATGATTATTCAAATAGCATAAATATTGTGCTATTTTATATAATAAATAACAAAATATTATTTAAATAGTAGTGAGGAAAACCTGTATGATTATTTAAATAGCATAAATATTTGTCTGAAAAGTATTTTTAGGAAAAGTTAGCTTTTAAGAATTTCTGTTAAACATCTCTATTGGGTGAGTTGCTATATGTTGGTAAGTGTCATTTATTGTTTTGTGGGGGAAAAGACTAGGGTAAGTGCTGGCAAATATATATATACCATAGCTTGTGATTTTTGTTATCAATTTATTTATTTTTTGTTATTTCAGGGAATTCTTTAATCTGGCAAACTATTGAACCTAAGCCACCTGCCCAAGCTGTACCTAGTAAGTTTCCATCGTAAGCTCAGGATTCTAATGATATTTTCTAAAGTGATAAACCAATACGTAGCTTCTATTTACTTCTAGAGACTTCTCTTTGAAAATCCATGTTTGCTGATTACATGATAATATGTTTTAATTCCTGCCTTTCACCTAGTTCTAAAGCCAAGATGGTAAATATCCCCGTGTCTTTGTGGTTATGTCGGTTAGCCATTCCTATTATTTTGTAGCTCACTGATAAAACGATGACTACAAATTCTTTGGCATCACTCCAGCTCATACTCTCGGGTTTCCCAAGGTAACACACTGTGAAGAAGTGACTGTGTGGCGGCCACCACACGTTGGCCTCCCTGAGACTCCCGGTGCTGCAGGCTTTGAAGTGATGTTCCCTCTGTCACTCAGTCGAGTTCAGCTCAGTACAGCTGTCTCCTGGAGCAATCAGGATTTGGTTATAATCCAAAAAGACATAACCGGTATACTGTTTAGAATTGAACAGATTGTCTCTTAATTTGAGATATTTTTGTTTCCAATTAGGGAATGGGACGGGTGCAGGGAGTAAGGAAGCAGGTGATTCTGGTTGAGAGAGGATGTGAGTGAACAGGGATGTAAATACAGGGCAGGCCTGCACTGAGGCTGGGCACCGAGTGGCTCCCTTTTATATGGGCCCAGCTCTGTGTAAAGAGGAAAGAACATCGATGAATGTGATTGGAAATGTGGCACTACTGGCTGAACATGCTAATGGTTTTAACGTATTTAACCCATTCCTCTGAGACGCTTTTTGCGGACTTTTTTAATGTTGCTTTTGGAATCTGAAGAGAATTTGAGAGGTGCTGAAGAGGAGATGGCAGTTTAAATGCCAAGAGTAGGGCCGAGGGGAGGGTAGAAGCTGGATATATATCTTATGAAATAAAGAAAACAATACAGCTGTGACCGGTTTGGCTCAGTGGATAGAGCATTGGCCTTCGGACTGAAAGGTCCCAGGTTCGATTCCGTTCAGGGACATGTACCTTGGTTGTGGGCACATCCCCAGTAGGAGGTGTGCAGGAGTCAGCTGATTGATGTTTCTCTCTCATCAATGTTTCTAGCTCTCTATCCCTCTCCCTTCCTTTCCATAAAAATCAATAAAAGAAAAGAGAAAGAAAAAGAAAACAATACATTTCAGAGAAGGATGAAAGGTTAAAAAGCACTTTGTTATTATTGTCCATACTTTCATTATACTTGGCATAATATTGGAATAATGGTGTGTTCCAATAAAACTTTATTTATAAAAACGGGTGGCAGGCTGAGATGTCCCAGGGACTTTAGTTTTCCAAAACCAGTAATTTTCACTGGTGAAAATTAACTAACATAATAGGTATCCCAAAGAGGCATATTTTGGGGTGACTCTACTCCCTTTTACACAAATCTGTGAATATCTTAAAACCCATGGAACTGTGTATTTTAAAAGAGTAAATTATATTTCAATAAAACTATTATTAAAAATTGGTTTAGATTAATTTGCAACATTTGTCCCTTATGATCTGTGTCTGTCTTGACTAATTTGAGTAGTATTTGGTTTTCATCATGTTCAGTTGCTGATGCTTTAATTAGAGACTTTTCTATGCCTTTTCAGTGAGTGCCCCAGCCCCACAGACTTTGGATGCTAAGTCAAGTCTAACAATGGCACATGGTAAGTTTCAGCAAAGTCTGGGCGTTTTATGTACATTTTCCACCCTGAGTTAGATTACTTATTAACTGAAAGCGCTTTTCTGTGGAGGTAATTATGCAAAACAGAAAACATTTTAGTGAATGCAAAACAGTCAATAACACTTCAGTATTCCTATTTAATATCATAAACTGAACATACCCACCAAAGCTAGAAAGTATAAAATATGTACGTTGCTAAACCTACAATTAGAGATTTTTAACTTTGAGTAGTACTTTCACCATTTATGATTTTGGGTGGAAAGTAGTAGGTAGTGGGTGAGAGGGTGACTTTCTAGACCAGCCAACCAGTACATTCCACAGGGCATATGTGACTGTTTTTATAACTTTCAGTGTGGCAGCATGTCAACTTTTTAAATAAACAGTTTCAGCAATTGGTTGGGAAAAATCTAAAAGGACATGTGATGGAAACCAAAGGGGGAAAAAAAAATAGGACCCACTGGATGAAATTGCTGCCAGGATTCAGTTGTTGGACCAGACCACCAGAGTGATAATTGTTAATTAACATCACCCAATAGATAGGGTGACTATTTGTAGCATATTTTACTTTTGTACAGTTAGGAGCATACAGTTTTTTGTAGTATGTCTTTAAATGTGCTATTTTCCTATGGTCTGCTATAGATTAAAAATGAATAAGACAGAAGGGGGACCACCTTTTTCCTATTTTATCTAATGATTACTTCACTCCACATTTTGTTTTTAGCCTTTTCATTAGACTTGAATCTATGATCAGTCAAGTCGAACTTTTTGTCTTCATAAATATTGTGGTCTGCACATGATGGTCTTTGTAATTGTTTTTTTTACCCACTGAATAACACGTGAAATATTTATTGCCCCTAATTTTTTTCTTAAGATTATTTGAGATGGACTAGTTCCCTTGAGCATGTGCTCACAATATGTAATGCAAATTCTCCACACATTAGATGTTATTACTTATGTGTTTAGAATATGCATTTTTCCCCCCTTTGGACAAGTACTACATAAAATGTACGCTGGATTTATATAAATGTACTTAAATATTCAATACAATTTTCTCTTTTCATACTATTTTATATCAAAATAATATGAATTTTACTATTTTATCAAAATAGTATAAAATTTCTCTGTTGCCTCCTTTTGTAGGGTTCATTATTATAAAGCAATTGCTGGCCACTTCCCTTTTGTACTTAAACAGTGTTTAGTTGTCTTTTCTCTTTTTTTTTTCTACCTTGTTTTGATTATAACATCATCTAAGATCTACATTTTATTTGTTTCATCTTTTTGGTGCCTGCTAAAGGACACATGCAGTCTGTATGCTAAGCAACCTGAGGTTAGTTCAAGGGTCCTGACAACTCTGTTGGTTCTAAAGCAATGTGTTCCATGTGGACCTGCCCTGATTCCAGGGCCACAGGAATCAACCATACCCACTCACTGGCATCTGCTGGGATTGAAATGCTAGTTTTAAATGCCAGCCAGGCTTGGCACAGGGCCTGCAAACCTTGGATTGGGATCAAAGCTGATTTGTGAGCATCTCGATGGGCAGGAGCAAGGCGGAGGCTTGGCTGGGGCTCACTGACCTACCCTAACCCACCTGTGTTAGAGGTTGGGAGAAGGGGTTAGTCATGTATTGCATAATATTCATTAGCCTCATTACCTCTGTCTTTCCGTTTGTTCCATCTCAAAGCTTGGTGAGGCTCCTCTCTATAAATAGTGTCATGAATACTCGTCCTCTCAGGTTGGGTTCCTTGAGAAACAGACTCTGAGGGAGAGGTTTGCAGGGGGGAGGTTTAGGCAGTGCTCTCAGACAATACCCATGGGAGTTGAGGGACTGAAAGGTGCAGCTGCAGTGGAGCCCTTGGCAGGTTTTACCAGGAGTTAGAGCTGGGTTGGCACTTTTAAATTTTCCTGGCTTGAGGTGACAGTATCGGATCTGGGTTGTCCCAGGAAATGGTGTGTGTTTGGGGTGGCTGCTCCCCTCAGCTGAGATGAAGCAAAGAGTAGAAGCAAAAGGTAGCAGGAAAGCACTAGGTGTGAATTAATGATGCAGATGACTTATCTGGCTGAGCATAGAGTTTGCAGAAGAGATTTGAAGGAAAGAAAGTTGGCTGAGACTGTTCATAGTTACCACTGAGTTGACTGTATCTGTTCAGGGCTGTTCCTGTGGTATTGTGTAACCACTAGGTGTTCGGCAGTTAGACAAGGCTGGATTGGAGAGCTGGGCTTCAGGAAGCTTATCCGGACCAGAGTGTTTTCATAGAACCAGAGTTGGGGAGACTAGTTGGGGATGTTGGCAATAGTCAGCGTGAGATTCCTTACCTAGGAATCTAGGTATGGTGATGATACCAGAGAGAGTGGACATAACAGCTGTGTAGTGGAATTGGTGGAAAGATTGGACAAGTGATTGGGGGGCAAGGGTGAGGACAGGGGCAGACCATGATGAGTTCAGATACCGGATGGATGGTGGTGCTGTTTAGAGAATCAGGACGATAAGCCCAATGAGTGCCAGTTGACGCATGAAACAATAGACTTAGGTTTCCTTGCCTGCCACATGGGTAGAATAGTCATGGCTACTTCAGTGGGCTGTGGAAGGGTCAAATGAGGCAGGGCCTTTGGAGCAGGAGCCACTGAACAGGCTCTGGCTCAGTGTTAGCTTGAATGGTAGGGACAATGAAGTTCAACAAAACCAGCAGTGGGGAAAGGGCTGTGTACAGTTTTTCTTCTGGAAGTCATGGTAGGTAACTGGTAAAAGTATTTTTCTGGAAGTGTCCAGCAAGTTCAGAGGGGAGACTCAATCGTCTGGGTGTTTCAGCTCTTGGGAGTCTGGACCCTTCCCCGTCGGGATATCAGCCTGCTTCTTTAGGGTGCTGGGGTCTGGTTGACCTCACTTCCTCAGCTTCTACAGTAGGAGCCTGGGTTCAGGGAATCTCCATCTCCCCCAGGACCTCGCCCTATGTACACAGCAGGAAAAGTCAGAATTTTGACAGTTCACCCTGATTCAAGAGAAATAAGTCACAGAATTATCCCTGTAATCTACATATATAAAAGTCTAAGCAACCGTGTGACTGGTAGCTATGATGCACACTGACCACCAGGGGGCAGATGCTCAATGCAGGAGCTGCTGAGCTGCGGTGACTTGGCAGCTGCAGTTCTCAGGTGATGCACCCAGAACCAGAAAGGAGGGAGCCTGGTTCTGGGATGCATCACCCGAGAACAGTTCTCTCAAAACCCTGGACCCTTCCGGGAATGTTGGAGAGCTGGTTTCGGTCCAATCCCCACAGGCCAGGCCAAGGCAAATCTGTGCACTGGGCCTTTAGTATAATGATAATATGCACACGATTTTTTAAGATTTTTGTAGAACTTTCCTCATGACCTTACTTTGTTGTTTTCAGGAAGTATAATAAAATATATACCATGTGATAGTAAAAACCTGTGATTGTCCTCCTAAAATATCTATTTTCAGCAGTTCAAACTAGTAAAATAGTTTATTTGTAGATGTTTAAATCTCGATGCTGAATAAGAAATTTGAAAGCACGTGTTTTGGTGTTCAGCAGTTGTGGTGCAGGGATGGACTTAAAGCTCCTTGGCAGGCTGTGCTCCTTTTTAAAACTGAAGTGAACTCTTGCTTACTAATAGTCTATGTTCCAAAAATTCACTTGACAGTATAGTTGCAATCTATATAATCCTATTAATCAATGTCACCCCAATAAATTTAATTTTAAGAAGTACTTTAAAATGCATTTCTCTCATATAGCCAGTGTTAGATATGTTGACTACGGTTGCTGACCAATCTGTAAGAGTCTATTTATATATATATATCTAAATATAACATATAGACATACTCAATTGTATGTACTTATGTATATATGTGTTCATGTATGTGTATTTGTATATGCTTAAAATAAAGTACCAGAAATGTCCTTTAATAAATTAAAAGCCAGGCCTTTAATGTAGGAGGCATTAAATATGAGCTAATATATGTAAAACACTTAGATCCATGCCTGGCAATCTGGTGAGCACTCCGTAATTGCTGGCTATTATTATTCTCACCTATCATGTACTCTAGGATTTGGTGGTAGAATGAAATGACCTCTGCCCTATCGGTACAGGTGGGGAACTCCCCAGGGAGGTGCCCTGTGTCAATCTGCAAGGTGACAATGAGTGAACCATGCATCCCCCTAGAATACATAAGACTCCCTGGTTACATTTCATTCCTTATCTGCCTGACTGCCATGGTTAGACCTTCGGCCAAAACCTGACCTTCCCCATGAAGGAACTTAGCCTTTGTTGATGGAATGGGGTTTAGCTTTATCCACGCTGGCTGTGGGCTTCCTTGTGTCTGCACAGTAACCTTTTCTGGGGAAGTTGCCCTGAGGCCTTGTCTTCCCCACCACTGCTCTGGGGTGGGACTGGGAAATGCCCATCTTCCTCTCCTCTGTCATTTGTCTGCTGCCCTGGTGCCTCTCAGAGCAGAACTGGGACTTGAAATGTGGTTTAGGGACAGGGAGGTATTTAAGAATGTGTCTTAGTCCAGCTGCTGACTCTAGGGCCACCTATTCTTGCCTTTTACCATCCTGGTCCTACCACTTTAAGGTTTGTGAGAAATGAGAGTCCTAGGGCCTTGGCCATTTTTATGTTTTTATCTTTGAAAATTGAAGTATTTTCAATAATTTTCTGTTTAGCTATCTGGTCGAGTAGTATCCTTGTGCATTTAAAGGATAATAACAGGCATGATGTTGATGAATGTGAAACATTAACTTAATTTTTTAAAAATATAATATCCTGAGAATGGACTTAATGGACTTAGTAGAAAGAGAAGATACCAGGAAAAAAGTGAGCAGCTTTAACTGACTGCCTCAATATTTTTCCCCAGTAAATTCTTGCTCTTTTTGACAAGATTAAGATACTGTGGGACTTTAGCTTTCAATATTGTTTGAAAGTAAACTAATTTTACTTTGCTGTTGTCCTGTTTGTACTATTCTTATTTCTCCTCATTAATAGAGCAGGCATTCTCATCGCACATACTGGAACCAATAGAAGAACTTTCAGAGGAAGAAAAAGGTAATAAAGGTCTTAATCAGGGTTTATGCCTGCATAGGTTATATTAGATGCTAACACCAAGTCTTGAAAATATGATTCAGTGGTTTTTAGCACACTGTGTCAAAATTAGGGAAAATGTTTATTTTTGTATTATATTTTCAATCTGTGTATAGTGTTTTGTCATCCTACTCCCCTAATATGCTGTTATATCCCCTCTCCCCGATTTATTGAATTCTTAGCATCTGAATAAGTTAATTTGGGAAAAAATAAACCTTTATGCCAATGCAGATATTTTCTGATCATATGACAAGTTGTATGCCAGTTGATATGAAAATATTTGTATCACAGTAATTATTTCTCATACCTTGAATCTGTGAAATGTACATGTGAAGTGCCCACTTCAAAAATTATTTTCAGTAGAAAGGAAAGAATAACATTTAAGCTCTGAATGTAGAATATGTATATGCAAAATAATGTTTTGAGAGCTATGACAGGTTCAAGGAGCTAATTAAAATATTACTGCCTACTCATTTTATTTGGCAGTTCTAAAAACTATTTTCTAGAAATTAATGTTTGAAGCTTATGAAAATTATTTTACATTATTAATAGAATTTTCCACCAAACTAGTATTACATGAAATGTTGAAGGGTATTCCATTAGAAGAGGAAGAAGAAAAATAAAAGGATAAAAAATGCGAACAATAAAATGACAATAAATACATATCTATTAACAATTGAATCTAAAAATAAATGAACAAGAGATCTAATGACCAAAATAAATTGACAGATAAAATAGAATTAGAGACATGGAAACATGGAACAGACTGACGAATCTCAGAGGGAAGGGGATGAGGGGCATGGGAAGAGAGTAACCGAAGTCTTACCTATGGACACAGAGAGTAGGGTGGTGAAGGCCTGGGGTGGGGTGGGAACCAAGAAGAGGGGGAGCAATGGGGGAAAGCAAGGAGACATTTGTAATACTCTCAACAATAAAAAAAAAAAAGTATTTTCTAATGCTAGACTTGTAGTTTCTAAAGCAATTATATTTGAACCAGTTTATCATAGTGTTCTCCTTAGTAATGACAATATTTTATCATATATCACTTCTTTCTAAGAAGACAAATTGTTAATATTTATATGGCCTCTGATTTTTGTCATTTTTGTTAGGAAGAGAAATAAAATTATATATCCTAATACACAGCGTCTTAATATTTGTTATAGCTTCAGTATTCTCTAGACTTTTTCCCAAATTTTTTTAAAAGGCTGCAAATTGAGAAATGACTAAATCAGTCATATCCATAATATCTATATAATGTATATTTCATTTAACCTTCAAGTAGCATGCCTTTTCTTTCTTACATGTCATTTATTTGTATATGGAACACAAAATATCTTATTCTCTGAAGTCATGAAATGTATCAGGAGATTCATTAAAAAGGTCCAAAGTTTTGAAACTGGAGCCTCAGGTCATATTGTTCACACTCATTTTAAAAATGAGTCAGCTAGGTTCCAAGAGGAATCCTGATTTGTCCACCATCACCACTTTGGTTCTAGTTTCTACCCTCTGCATCATTCTACCCATGTTTCTTTTAAAGTTCTACCCAGAAAACCTGAGGTAAGTTTAGGACCATTGATGGCAAATAGCATCATTGATTGTTGCCAAATTTCGGGAATCAGATTGGGAAAGAAAATCTTTGGGTTCATACACAGCTCTGGTGGGAGGTGGTACTGAGGACCATCAAAAACACCCCAGCCCCTTGGCCGGTGTAGCTCCATTGGTTGAACATTATCCTTCATACCAAAAGGTCCCGGGTTCAATTCCCGGTCAGGGCACATACTCAGGTTGCAGGTTTGATCCTGGCAACCGATCCATGTTTCTCTCTCACATTGATGTTTCTTCCTCTCTTATCTAAAACCAATAAAAATATATTAACAAATAAACAAACAAACAAAAACACCCCAGAGTCCAAATGTACTGTTACAGAAGCAGTGATCACATCCTTCCAGTGCCTCTATGGAGCTAGCACGCTGGCTGCAGATTAATTGCCATCAATAAGTACCTCAGCTTTGTGCTAACATTTTGCAGATAATGCCTGTGCAACTAATGCTTTAGGCAGTGGTTTGCAAAAACACTGGCTACTACCAAGAAGTAACTCATCAGGAAGACTCTTCCTTACTTATTGACAGTTTTGGAGAGGCATACTTGATCTTGCTGTTTATAGGGTGTTAGAGTGTGAGGACCAGGAGGTGGTGTTAGAGGCCATTTTTCAATTCAGAAACTTGAAATCAGGATTAGGAGCTTTCTCCAAGTCATTGAGTTTAATTAGTAACAACGTTGTGTAGCCTTGGGGGAAGTCTCTTTACCTCTCTGGTTTTGGTGTACTTCTGTGATAAAGTCCCTTCCAACTCAAAAATTCTGCTCTTGTTTTTTACTGTTTTCTTTGTGCTACAATTATTTGCTTTCCATAAATGCTGTGTTGTACATCTGCTGAACCCATCACATGCGTGGGCTATTGCGCATTGGTCATCTGCTTTCATAATCTTTCACATTGTAATTAGAGTAAGTGCTGATATATAGAAAGTTTTGCTTTGTTGATCTTGGTGAGCAATACTTGCTTTAATTAAAAGCTTCAGCTGTTGTTGGTTTTCAAGTGAATAATTCCATCATTTCCCAAGAACATGATTATCATTTTCCCATCCATTCTCTTGCTTCCGCAGTCCAGTTCCAACCTTCTAAGAGTCTTTCCAACCAAGGGTTTTCTGATTTTTCATAAACGGCTTTCCAAAACAAGTGCCAACATAGAAAGTGAATTTGAGGATAGAAGAAATGTTTAATCTGTGGCCACTGGGGAAGCTAAGTCACCAAAAGGAACTTGTCATCATGGGTGAGGGTGAACCTGGATCAATCAAGCAATGAGTTGAGCGACTACAATCAAAGACCTTATTTATGACTCTTCTTAACTGTAACCCAGCCATTCTTGGCTTCGTTTGACCATTGCATGTCTCCTTGTGCCTTGGAGCAAATAGGGGCCCAGACTTATCTTCAGGCTGTGCTTCTGTGCAGTGTCTTTTACATCCCAGATACCAGCTGTAACATTATCTCTGCATAGGAGATATCAGCACAGGAGGTGCTTGTATTTCAGTGTTAGCTCCAGAACTTCCAGACTGTGTCTTGGTACCTCTTTTTATTTTTAGCTCTATAGATGTAGAGTCACCGGCCAACTGGCAGCCAAAGTCAGTGACATAGGCATGGCCGTAGTTAAGCCCTCTAAAATGCATTGTCAATTTCTAGGACAGAAGGACGTTTTTTTAGGGTGGTTTCAGAATACTGGAAAACAATGGTTGGGAAAAGAGCAGCACATATGCTGAGAATATAAAATGTAGTAAGATTACTTCTGACTTTTAATTATATACAATTTTATCATTTGATTTAGAAAGTTGCAGTAGCAAAGTATATAAAAGCATCATCACGCAAGGTTTCCCCTCCTGTTTAATGTACAAATAGCAATTTGACTAATTTTGCTGTCAGCAAAACCACTTATTAATGAACAGACAATATTCTTTACTACTGGAATTAAACTCGTGTTTAGAAAACATCTAAACCAAAGGCATTTTGTTTAAGATCTACATATCTAAGTGCCTTGGGCACCTAAAAATCCCATCTACTGAAATGGATGGGGTGGGGAAAATGGAGTGTCTGTGGGGGCCCTCCTATAGTCCCAGGCCCTGGCAGTGGCATTTGGTGAGACTCTCCTGTCTGGAGACTAGGAGATCAGACTCCAAAATGATAATACTGTTGTTGTATTCTCTCAGATCTGCCTTTGCACCTCTCTAAGGGTCAGAGCTGCCCAGCATTGGGTCTCTCATCAAGCTTTCAATTTTCTTTGATGTAAGGACTCAGTTCTTCAAGGTCACACACCCCTTCTCCAAACTCTCTTTAACTAGACATTTTTTAGTGGGGGCAATAAAAGAGGAATAGGGAAGGAAAAGTTGGAAAAACCTGGCCTGCTATTTTTCCTTTGTTTTAAATTATAGGTTGTTTTAAACAAAGGATGTGTTTCCCAAGACTTATGTTAACCTCTTTTTCATTTTGATAAATATTTTCAGGGGGATAATTTCACATTTTGAAATTTCATATGAACTTAACTTCTATTAAGTTTACTATATAAAAACTTAGTTATTTAAAATAAATTGAGCTTTTTCTTCATAAATTAATACATAAACTCTAACTGGATTTAGGAAAAATGAATCACTCAGGAAATAGTAAAATACTTTTAGAATAAAACTTAGTTAAACTTTTAAATGTGTTTTTCCCCCATTGTGCTTCTTTAAAGACAAACTTCTTGCATTTTTTTACCTAGATATAATTCAGTTAAAGGATCAAGAGTCTTTAAAGACATTTGAAGTTTTGAAGATGGCTTAAAGTTTTAAAAGCTACAGTACTTAAGCATTATACATTGTGCTGAATGACTAAAATATCCCAAAACTTAAAAGATTTACAAATGTTTACTTGCTGTTTAAAAGTTGTATTGTTATCATTTTCTACTTAGAGATTTAATGTATTTGTTTAATTGCTTTTTAAAACATTTTTTTTTGAAACTTTATTTCAGGAAGGGAAAATGAACAGAAATTTAAAAACAATAAGAACCATGTCAGGAAAACTTGGAAGGCTAACCCCTCTCTCACAAAGAAAATAAGATCAATCTTGGAGCAGAATTTGTTGGGAAAATTGGAAAGCTTGGGGATTAATCCAGTAAGTTTACTCATCTTTCTCAGTTTTTAAACATTTGCTGGTTTTGTTTTGTAAATAAGAATCAGAGATGAGAAGACATGTCAGTTCTGTCCACATTGGGACACTGGAGGTTAATGCACCTTTTCAAGAGCTTCATGAATATTAACTCATTTAAACATAGAAACAAATCTCTGAAGTGAGTGACAATAGTATCTCCATTTTAAGAGAGCTTAAATAACTTGCATTAGGTCACACAGCTAGCAATGAAGGAGCTAGGGTTTGTATCTTGGCAGTTGCAGTGCTGTTTACATTCTGCTATCAACTTCAAATTGTTGCCTATTATAAAATCAGCACTTAAGCAATACTTGTTAAATTAATGGGTGAATGAATTATATTTCATGTTTTTGCCAGATTGAATTATTCCAGTACAACAAGTTATATGAGGTGACACGCATCTTCATCCAATAATGCTTGTAATTGTTGGTCTTCAAACTTTTTCAGTTGACCTGGGTGTTCTTTGTCTTTCACATCGAAATCATCACTTTTAAAGTGTTTAAACCAGCGTTCACAAGTATCTTGAGATGGAGCATGTTCACCATAAGCTCCTCAAAGTATACAATAACTTTCAGCAGCACTTTTCTTCAAAATAAAGTAATAAATTAAAACTTCCCATAAATGCTCTTCTTTTTGGCATGAAAGTAGACTTTTTAAGCATAAAAATATCTATGATGTTAACACCTTCAGAAAATTTGACATATGAAATTTTGAAGCATGTTATCAATACAACAAAATAGCATACATATTAAATCACATATATATCAACTTATGTGTAACTCCATCTATTGAATAAAATCTGCATTATCAACTGGTACACCTGGTATATATTCTTTGCTTTTTACATTTTTATTGACATACATAAAATATATAAATCTTAAGTGAACAACTTGAATTTATGTACCTATAGATCTGTATTTACACATGGCTATGTATAGTGTTTGTGTAAATAAGTTTGTATCTATGTGTATCTATGTGTAGACATGTGCACATAGATATATATGTATGCATGTGTGTGCACATATGTATTTCTGTATGTATACATATATATGTAATGTAAATTTGTGTGCATATGTCTCTGAATGTGTGTATGTATGTGTGATTTGTACCTACCACCCAGATCAAGACTTGGATCATTTTCAAAACCCTTTCCTTAGTCAATATCACCCCTTTTTCTTCAACAAGAAGTAATAGTTATACTGGCTTAATTTTGCTTGTTCTTGAACCTCATTTGAACGAAATCATACATCATGTAGCATTCTGTATGAGTTCTTTTGCTTATGATTTTGTGTATAAGATTCATATCTGTTGTTCAATTTAGCAGTGGTTTTAGTATAGTATGCATTTTATTGTCTGAATATGCTACCCTTTATTCCCTGTTGATGGACATGTGCACTTCTAGTTTGTGGCTCTTTTTGACCATTACATTCTTACACATGTCTTTTGGTGGACATAGGCATTCTTTTCTCTTGGATATCTATCTGGGAATGAAATTTCTGAGTTTTGTTTTAATGGGTATAACCAAATAGTTTTTCAGTGTTTGTATCAATGTACACTATCCCTATTGGTGCATGAGTGTTTCAATTGCTCTGTCACCAACTCTTTTAAATTTCCATAGGCTTTTTTTTTCAGGTGGCCTTTGACCATCCCTTATCCCATCCTAGGATAACTGACTAACTTAACATGTTATTCCTTCAGGATACACGTGGTATTCCAAGCGATCAATTGAATAGAGTGTTAAGAACCATGGAATCAAAAAGACATAATCACGAAAGACAGATGCCTAACATTCTGCAAATTCGAGAATCCCTTGAGCATCAGGTCAGCTCTAAAATTGAGGAGAGAATAGTACTGTCTTCAGGTAAGGCTGTTACTAACTGCCATTTCATTTCTGCAGACGGAAATGAAATTAAACAACTTTTCCTAATTATAAATGGTTCACAAACTTTGGTACTTAATTTGCAACTTTATTGTTGTCTAAACCATTAAGTGTTGGGTTTTGTATTTTGTTTTTACATTTAAGAGAAATCCTGTAGTGTGGGCTCTAGACCCTAGAGATGGGCTTATTCATTTCAGTGCCAGCATAGACAGTATTACAGTCTTTTATTCTGCTTTTCATGCAATGAAGACTCATGAATAACACTACTATTCCAGACAGGAACAGTGGTTCTCAAGGGGAAACCCTTTCAACTGGAGAAGTACCCAAAGCAATACAACTTCCTCCCAAAAGCAGACAATTGGTCAAACAAAGACCTGTGTTCTCTGATAGAACATCTGTCCCAAAGTGAGTATTTTCCAACTCTAAAATGTTTACATTAATGCTTATCTTAGCTTGGGCTGCCATAACAAAATATCATAGACCAGGCAACTTAAACAGCAGAGATTTAACTTCTTACACTTCTGGATGCTGGATGTACAAGATCAGGATGCCAGCTAGTCAGTGAGGGTTCTCTTCCTAGACTTGAAGATGATTGGTTACCCTCTGGCTGAATCCTCACATGCTCTGGTCTCTCTTCCTCTTATTTTAAGCCTACGAATCCCATCATGAGGCCTCTACCCTCATGACCTCTGACCTAATTACCTCTCAAAGGCCCTTTCTCTAGCTACCATCACTTTGTTGGGGGTTAGGGCTTCAACATGATTTTAGGGGAAAACCAAATATTCAGCTCTTAACAATGTTTAACCCAACAGAGAATCATAGTTGCAATTTCTACCCATCTCTCATTGGTACTGGGAGACTCTTATTGCTCACTCTCTTTAATATACGTTAAAAGCAAAAATGACCAATTCCATGGAAATGTATGTTAAATTACATTAGTCACTCATGCTGTTTAGAAATAGTTTTCTTTTTTTTACTTACTTTCTTTTTTTTTTTTTTTTTTAAGAATTAAGAAAAATATCACAGAAGATCATTTTCCCAGAAAGTCTTCAAATATTACGTGAGTAGAGTACTTGGGTGGGTCATTTTAAAAATTGTTTCCACTGAGCATCCCTTTCATTGTAAATTAGTATGTTCATTGTGGTTAACTAAAACCCTAATTATTAAACGTCAAAATTAATTTGTTAATTCCATTTTCACATTTCTTTGTTTCTTTATTAGTTTTACACAATATAATAATGCTTATCACATTGTGGCCCCCATTAAGAAGTGGAATCACCCTGAGTCACTTCCATTATCCCCCTCTGTGTCTAGTAACTTTCAAAAGCTTGATAAATTAAAGGAATGGTGTTGACTTTTAATGGCTGGGTCCATGCTGGTGTGGCCAGATGCTATTTTAGCATTCTAAGACTCTCTTAGGGTACTAAGAATCCTAGCTCGGTCAGTCATTAACTGTGTGCCATTGATTCAATTGAGTACTAGTTTTAAGTTCAGTGTTTCTTAAAAAGATTTTCTTTTGTTGTTTTTTAGAGAGAAAGGAAGGGAAAGGAGAGGGAGAGGGAAACATTGACATGAGAGTGAGACATCTATCATCTGCCTCCTGCATGTCCCCTACTAGGGACTGAGTCGGTAATCCAGACATGTGCCTTGACCGGGAATTAAACTGGCAATCTTTTTGTACATAAGACAACACCCAACCCACTGAGCCACACCGGTCAGGGTTAAGTCACAGTTTTCTTATCTGTAATATGGGATGATACTGCCTTTTCCACAGCATAGTTATATAACTTAGTAAGAATATATGAAAAGGGCTTGGCACGTATGGGTACTCAATAAATTATAGGTACATTACTGTTATTAGTTGGAGGAAAACTAATTTTGTAACTGAATTTCATCATCATTGGCTTATTTTAGAGATATAAATACTATAAGTCTGTACATTGAGGCTTTATGTAATATATGAATATATATAGATAGTAGAGACAGTAGAAATATAATACAGTAAAGACAATATAAATAATGCCTTACCCTTCAAAAGCTCTTTTCATGTACATAATTTCATGGGAAGAGCTTTATTTCATGGGATATAGTATAACTAAACCATGTCTGAAATCTATTAATAAGTGTTCAGTGAATATTTTTTTAAATGAATGAACACTGCTCTAAATTTTCATTTCATTTTAAAATGGGGTGACAATTCATGTGATTATACAAACAAGATTGTAAAAGTGCTTTGTAAGATACAGCGTAGAGGTAGGTTATAAATAATACAGTATTTTTAAAGGTTGAGTAGTTTTATTGCCAAAAACTATTTTTCCCCACTGAGAAATATTTTTCTTAGGTATGTAAAAGCCAAGAATGTTAAGAATATACAAGTTTGGATTTAGAGGAGAACTGTCATAGCTTCAGTCCATTTTGGTAGTTAAGTCTGGATTGGAAATGACTCTCCAGGCTTTTGTGGGAGTCCTGGCCTTGCCGCCATCTCTTCTGCGACCACACCCTTGGTTTGTTATGCTCCGGGGAATTACCTGAGAAAGTTCCCACTTTCATCGACATTATCATTTGTAAATCCCGAAATTTGTGAAAACATCACCCTCTGTTTGATTCGTGTAGGTCGCCTCCCTTTAGTTCAGAGGAAGACTTGGATGCTGGCGACCTCATCCAGACATACACGTCCCCAGAGTTACTTCATGTGCAGCCGTCTAAAAACAACAAGAGTAGCTTTGGAAGGAAAACTGTCAAGAGTGACAGCGACTGGACCGAAGGCAGTGAAATGGAGGACTCTGATATTTCTCCCAAGCCCATGGGTGAGCTTTTATCATTAAAAATCCTTTTAGAAAATTTTGTTTAGGGCAGTGGTTCTCAACCAGGGGCAGTCTGAGAGGGAAATGTGCTTGAGGAAAGGACAGGGCTTATCCAAAAGCTACTGCTGCCTCAGGAAAATGGACAGGGCTTAGCCACGAATGATATTCACACGGAAGGAGAGGAAGGATTCGGGAATGCCTAGGTGTATTAGTCTCCTAGGGCTGCTATAACCCACGTACCACATACTGGGAGCTTAAACAAATGAATGTGTTGTCTCATAGCTCAGAGGCTGGAGGGCCAAAATCAAGGAGGCCAAGTTGGTTCTTACTGGGGCTGCAGGGATCTCTCATGTCTCTGTTCTCCGCCTGTGCCAGTAGTTGTCTGTCTTCCTATCATCACATGGGCCTTTCCCAATGAGTGCCTGTGTCCAGATTTCCTGTTTTTGAAGGGCACCAGTCATACTGGATTTGGGCTCACCTTAATGACCTCACTGTAGCTTCATTATCTCTTAAAAGGCTCTAAATAAGGTCACATTCTGAGGTATTGGGTTAGGACTTCAACATATGAATTTAGAGAGATATAGTCAACTAATCAAATTGGGTGACTATAAGAATGGCTATTCTAATACATTCTGTGGCCTTTTGGAGATGGGGCAAGTCTAAAGGAACATGAGGTCCAAGTCTGTAACTGTTGTTAATTTACTGAAGAGAAGTGCTATTTTAGGTTCATTAAAAAAAAATTCTGAACAACATAGACCGAGGAACAAGAACAGACCCAGAGATAAGAAGCCATGGGTCAGACTGTTGGACCTCAAAGGGAGGGTGGGGTTAAAAGGGAGAGATCAACCAAAGGACTTGTGTGCATACATATGAGCCTAACTGGTGGTCAAGGACAATAGGGGGGTGGGGACATGAATGGGGAGGGAGGAGAATGGGAATGGGGGGGTTGAGGACAAATATGTGATTCCTTAATCAATAAAAAAATTTTTAAAAATTCTGTTTAATATAATTTTAAAAATATATTTTAACCATATCAGATATAAGTTAGCTTATGGTATTGTATATAATTTGTAAACACATATATTTTTATAATTGTCTAAAATACAACGAATTCATTTAAAATAATTAATATTGGTTTTGAAAATACCCATGTGAATATTTTATTCATGTAGGTTACCTCACTGAAATTAATGTTTCTGATCAGAACTTGAATGAGACCCTCCTTCTTTGATTTAAAATGAAAATTTTTGGTGGGCACATAATACATATATAGATCTTGTAGCATAGAAACCCACACACTTGAAACCTATATGTTCATGTTGACCAATGTCACCCCAATAAATATAATAAATAATTTTAAAATAATTTAAAAATAAATAAGATAAAAAATTTTACTGCTTCTAGTCTAGAAGGCCATTATTTTTTAAGGAAATTATAAGTATTTAATGTAGCATTTTTAACCCCAAAATACATCAATTGAGTTTAATAGTGCATAATATTTGCAAAGCTTAGACTCAGAATTACTTGTTATGTTATTTTGTAACAAGTTTTTTAAACTTTTCCTATTTTCTATTGGTCATATAGGAACCTCCATTAAAACATTAACTGAAAAGGTTGAAAAGACAGCTTCAAATCAAAGAAATGTGGGTAAGCCAGTCGGTGGGATTAATGTTGCTGAAGCATTCATCAAAAAAGAATTTAAAGAAGAACTAAAGGTGAAATAATTCTTACTTGCTAAATATAGAGAATTTCATCTTAATTTTGTGTTTTGTAGTATAGAGGTTGAGATTTTTACCTTTTCTTATTTTCAGTATTGCCTTTCTTCCTATTCCATAGAGAATCAAAGATATTGGAATGATAACTGGTAATAATGTTGTATGCTTATCAAACTACAGCTTTTCAGAATCCTGTCCTGTGTGTTGATATTAGATGGGTTGTCCTCAGAAATGTGTGACAGCCTAGGATCTGGGGTCTCTAGATCTGAATCTAGGGACTTCTCTGCCGCCATGGTGTGACCTGGAAGTAAAATGGGGATTTTTCAGGGTTTAGTCCAACTCAGTAGCTGGTGGAGAAATCCTTCAGTAGTTGGTGGTGAATCGAGTGGAGGGCAGAGCCCAAGCTCCTCCTCTGCCTAACAGAGGAGAGGCCCTAACACCGTGGTTGGCAAACTGGGGCTCTCGAGCCACATGCGGCTCTTTGGCCCCTTGGGTGTGGCTCTTCCACAAAAGACCACGGCCTGGACGAGTCTATTTTGAAGAAGTGGCATTAGAAGAAATTTAAGTTTAAAAAACTTGATTCTCAAAAGAAATTTCAATCGTCGTATTGTTGATATTTGGCTCTGCTGACTAATGAGTTTGCTGACCACTGCCCTAACACATTCAGAGCAGTTCTAACTCCCAGGACACCAGTGTTTCTGTGGAGGGAAATATCCCTTTGTATTTCTGGCACAGCTCAGACATGTTGGCAGGGTCTTCTAGTACCCTGTTTCCCCGAAAATAAGACAGTGTCTTATATTAATTTTTTTCTCCCAAAGTTGCGCTAGGTCTTATTTTCAGGGGATGTCTTATCTTTCCATGTGCTAGGTCTTATTTTCGGAGGATATCTTATTTTCAGGGAAACACGGTAGTAGTCGTTCTTTGCGTCATTTTTCACTTAGATTACTTCTTTTCCTGTCCATCTATGGAATCCAGAGCATTCTGTCAAACTACTTTAATTAATTAGTGCTATTTGTTTTACACAAGCCAAATACGACAAAAAGCCATGTATGTATTTCAAGAGAGAGCTCACGTGCCTCCCTTAGAAAGGCTGTGGTGGATAGGCAAGCTCTTTTCGGGGCGGGGCTCTTCCTGCAGGGCCCTCGGGGATTTAATGTCGTTATCGCAGGTAAGAGCTCCAGAGCTGCCCTAGCTCCTACTTTGGGGAGGGTCCTAACTTTATTTCTAAAATGCATTTTTCTGGAGTTTTCCAAATTTATGATTGGTAGAGTAGAAAACATACATTTCCATGGCAAAAAACAAACAAAAAAGGTTTCCTTTCTTCCATTTTCAAAACACGGATTTCTAAATTCATTTCCAGAAAAGACCAGAGCATGGATCCTCTGAGGTTCCCATCTTCATATTGCTCAGTGTTAGCAGCTCGTCTGGCCCACAAAATGACGTGTGCCACTTCTTTAGGAAACATTATTTTCCATGTATTTATTTCTTTTAGTGCTCAGATGTGGATGATGATGACTGGGACATATCATCCTTAATAGAAGAAAAATCTTTGGGGAAAATAACCGGGAAAGAGCAGAGAGAACCTCCGCCTGTGAAGAATGAGTCACATTTGGCTCAAGTGCCAACTGCCTGGGCTGCACCGACTCCTAGAGTGCCAAAGAGAGAAGGTGTGCTTCTTTGGTGTATTTCAAAAATTCAGTCCATTTTCCAATTACTGTGTTTCATTTTTATAAATATCTAATTAAACTATGCAAATACATCATCAGATAGAAACACTGTTGGCATAACAAAGACCTCAATACTTTATGTTATATGTACAATTTACTGATATGTGTATATTTACTAATTGTTTTTATTTACTTTTATTTTTCATTCTTTTAAAATACATTTTATTGATTTTTTACAGGGAGGAAGGGAAAAGGATAGAGAGTTAGAAATATTGACCAGCTGCCTCCTGCACACCTCCTGCTGAGGATGTGCCCACAACCCAGTTACATGCCCTTGACTGGAATTGAACCTAGGACCTTTCAGTCTGCAGGCCAATGCTCTATCCACTGAACCAAACCAGTCAGGGTTTTATTTACTTTTAGAACTAATCTTTAGTATTTAAATTTTTATGTTATTTTTGAAAATGCCCATATAAATATACTCTTCATGCAGGTGCCCCATAGAAATGGAAATTTCTGATCATGCACTTGGGTGATGCCATTCTGACAGTCTTTTTGTGTTATTCTGTTTACATATTAAGTATTTTCATTGTTTTTGAAGGAATATTTCTCGTGTGGCTTTATAGCCAGTGGGATAAATGACAATGAAACCATTAGTAGAAATTGTTCCTGGATAAGTCCTAGAGTCTGCATAAGGCCAGAAACTCAACTCTTGATGCATTAAATTTTTAAAATTAGAAAATGTAATTTATGTTTCTTATCAGAGTAATTCTTGCACACAGTGAAAGTCAGCTCGTACAGTAGGGCTTCCCCACCTGTAGTGCCCATCAATCTGCTGTTAGTGCCTCTGCTCCAGACTCATCAATTTGAGATATTAACTGTCATTGTCCTATTAAACAGATGAAGACTTGGCTCATTTTCTCCACTTGCTCCTCTCATTGGTATTTTTGTACCCATGTTTGTAATTTTAAATTAATACATGTTAATATCAACATTTGCTCAGGCCACTTGCAGCACTCTCTCTCAACCACCCTGCTTTGTAAAATGAACCATTGCTACCTCTACCTTTCACTCCACCTTTTCCCTCCACCAGTGTGTCCGCTGGGCCTTTACTCTCACATTATTGTCAAGTCATAACATCGACCTCTGATCTGGAACCGTCATTAAGTTCCCTGTGCTTCGCCTGAAAATCGATTCCAGTAGTTGAAAAACCAAAAAGCCATGTTTCCGATACAGTGACTCCAAGTTCCTAGGACAGAGAGGACTCTCTTCATCCATTTCCTTTGTCTCCTCCCTGTGCTATGACCCCAGGCACCTCAAAAGAAAACTATCTAGAATCAAACTCAAGTGGAATTCACTAGCTATTCAATGACTCAAGACAGTTTTTTTTTAATATATATATTTTATTGATTTTTTTAGAGAGAGGAAGTGAGAGGGATAAAGAGCTAGAAACATTCATGAGAGAGAGAAACACCAATCAGCTGCCTCCTGCACCCCCCTCTCGCCCCCACTGGGGATGTGCCCGCAACCAAGGCACATGCCTTGACCGGAATCAAACCCGGGACCCTTCAGTCCACAGGCTGACGCTCTATCCACTGAGCCAAACCGGTTTCGGCAAGACAGTTTTTAATAAGCTTTATATTTAAGTATATTCATCATTAGGTATATTCATCTACCCTAAAGAATCTATTTTTACTACTTAAACCCTATTTAGCTTTTTTATTTTATTCTTCTTTCTTTGCCACCCACTCACTCGGCATTAATAACAAAAACAACAAAAGCGAAGTAAGTGCTGCCAACGTCCAGGCCACGTGCTGAATGCAGGGAAGGAGGGATGTGGGCAGCAGTTTCCGCACCAGGGTCCTGAGGGATGCCCTGGAGATGGGCCATTTCACGGTGCGCTGCACTGTGGCTCCTGCACAGCTGTGCGAGCTGGGGGTGGGGACTGGTGAGCAGACCTGGACACTGAGTGATAAGCTGCGGTGGGAAGGTATGGATTTTGCAGGCTGGAGAATGTGCTCGTTTAATCATCAAGGCCTCCTCTTCCTCCTCCTCTCTCCCTCCACAGGCCTTCAAGATGAATCAAGCACCCTGAAAAGCAGCTTAGTAACTGTGACTGACTGGAGTGATTGTTCAGATGTATAGCCGTAGCCCCACAGGCCACAAGATCCAGGTGCCAACAGTGTGTCCGGTATCGCAGTATGCCAGTCACTTGCCAACGTGATACTAATGCTCCTGCTTAGAGCACGTTCCACAATGGCTACGAGGCTGATTCAGAGAGCAAGCGTCTCTTTAACGGCACCTGATACAGTACTGAAAAACAAATTGTCAACAGAGTTTGAAGCATATAAAGTGTTTCAGACTCCTGCTTAAAAATGGCGTGTCATTTGAAGTCATAAAAAGGTTTTTCTTCAGAACGATCCTCTAGCGTTTCAGTGTATTTTTTTTTCCCCCAACTAATTTTTAATGACAGCAGGCTTTGGTTTGAATTAAAACTCTAAGTCTTTCTTATGTATGTTATCACATTGGAAGTGTTTTATTATAAAATTCTGTTCATATCCTTAAAACTGAATTAGTGGAGTTAGTGAAATCTTAAGGGTAGATTGATTATTTTTCTTATAGAAGTTTAGAACTACAAAACTATAGCAAGGCCCATGTTCAATACATTTTTCAGAAGCACCTTTACCACATTCAGCTTTGATCCATTGTAAGCATGTTGTTATAAGACAATTGTTTTATAATTTTAAATACCATTTCTGCAGCATAATGTTTAGCTTGGATATTTTATGAATAAAATGTTGCTATTTTCAAGATGGATTCAAGAATTAGTTCTCTCATCTTCTCTAGCTAGACCTTCTCCACCAATAAACCTTTCTTTGCTCCAAACCCTGACCTATTGAGTAGTGGCCTTTTTTTTGAAGCATTGGCACACAAGCCTTGGGTGAGCCAGCCAGGAGCTAGAGTTCCTGACTAATTGGCCCCCACTGTGCTGACCACCTAAATTGTGCTGTATCCTCCCACCCCCTCCACCTCCCTACCTCATCTCCTACTGCACTTGTCATACTCTGAGTAAGGAAACATCTTTGGACTTTGGTCAATTGTCTGTGTGATATAAGCAACCTCCCCCACTCCCCCCACTCCAGCAGTTTGGTAAGTGATACCTTTGTAAGCAATTTTGAAGCATTTAGCATTTATATTTTTCTCTCTGCCTAATCCCTCAAGAAGTTTGGAGACTCTGAATGATTATTATTTTCACAGCAACATGGTTGTTTGCATAACACTCTGTAGCAGTGTTTCCCAAACTTTTGACATATGTGTACCCCTTCTATAATTTTCGTAATGCTGAGTACCCCTCGTACTCATGAGAACGTAGAATTAGGCGCAGCTAAGCACGGTGCAATGCATATCCCCCCCAAACTCCGGTGCAACGCGTACCCCCCCAAACTCTTCCCCTACCCCTGGGGGTACGCGTACCCCACTTTGGGAAACATTGCTCTATAGGAATTTGTTTTCTTTATAATAAGATACAGATTAGAAACCCTTGATGAGGCTTTGACTGGAATGTCATGTATGAAGGAGACATGCACAGACTCTGGATCTCACCAGAAAGCTCTAAGGAATTAAGGTTGACTTCTGAGGCTGATCAAAGCCCCTTGGAAAAACAGCCTGGTACCTTTATTACATGGTTCATGGCAGTCTTTTCAGGTAAGGAACAAAGGTTACTTTCCTGGGAGATGGCAAAGGAAGAACCTGAGGACATTTTGGGGAACCTCAAGAACCTGAGGAATACACCTAAATCTATAGGTATTGCAGGCAAATGCTGATGGCAACTATACGGCTTGACTTCTCAGCCGTGAGGCTAATCTGGAAATTCCTTATGAAATTCCAGCAAAGCAGATATATAATCAATTGCTGTTCTTATACTTATGCAAATCACAGACCAAATTTATTGAAACTAGACTTATGCAATGGATTATTCTTAACTTGGCTATCCTATATAATAAAAGCCTAAGTGGCATCACACAAGATTGTAACAAGATGGGCACCACAAGATGGCCAACAGAGCAGGGCAATTGTGAGCGATCAGGCTGGCAGGGAAGGGCAGTTGGGAGGTGAACAGGCCAGCAGGGGAGGACAGATGGGGGTGACCAATTCAGCAGGGGTTGGGCAGTTGGGGTCAACCAAGCCTGGAGGGGAGGGCAGTTGAGGGTGATCAGACTTGTAGGGGAGGGCATTTGGGGGCAAGATCAGGCCGACAGGGGAGGGCAGTTTGGGGCAACCAGGCCTGCCGGGGAGGGCAGTTGGGGGCAAGATCAGGTCGGCAGGGAAGGGCAGTTGGAGGCGAGGTCAGGCCAGCAGGGGAGGACAGATGGGGGTGACCAATTCAGCAGGAGTTGGGCAGTTGGGGACAATCAAGCCTGGAGGGGAGGGCAGTTGAGGGTGATCAGGCTTGTAGGGGAGGGCAGTTAGGGACAAGATCAGGCCGGCAGGGGAGGGCAGTTTGGGGCAACCAGGCCTGCCGGGGAAGGCAGTTGGGGGCAAGATCAAGTCGGCAGGGAAGGGCAGTTGGAGGCGAGGTCAGGCTGGCAGGGGAGGGCAGTTAGGGGTGACCAGGCCTGCAGGAGAGGGTGATTGGGGGCCATCAGGCTGGCAGGGGAGGGCAGTTGGGGGTGAGGTGAGGCCAGCAGGGGGGGAGGCGGTTGAGATCCATCAGGCTGGCAGAGGAGGACAGTGGGGCCATCGGCCAGCAGGAGAGGGCAGTTGGGGACCATTGGGCTGGCAGGGGAGGGCAGTTGAGGGCAACCAGGCCAGCAGGGGAGGGTAGTTAGGAGTGACCAGGCCTGCAGGGGAAGACAACTGGGGGCGACCAGGTCTGCATGGGAGGAGAGTTGAGGGTGACCAGGTTGGCAGGAGAGGGCAGTTTGAGGTGATAGGACTGTCTAGAGTGGTTAGGGGCAACCAGGCCTGCAGGGGAATGGTTAGGGGGTGATCAGGCTGGCAGGCAGAAGCTGTTAGGGGTGACCAGGAAGGCAGGCAGGTGAGTGGTTAGGATTCAGCAACCCTGGATTGTGAGAAGGATGTCCCAGATTGAAGAGGGTACAGGCCAGGCTGAAGAACACCCCCTACCCCTGTGCACGACTTTTGTGCATCCTGAGGGGATTGGGCTGAAGCCTGCAGTCTGACATCCCTTGAGGGGTCCTGGATTGTGAGGGTGCAGGCCTGGTGAGGGACTCCACTGTTGCATGAATCCGTGCACCAGGCATCTAGTCTTTGATAAAATGAGGGTGATTTTTGAGAGAGAAATTGTTTCAATTAAAACCATAATGTACAATTGTGGATATTAGATTATAGCTTTGTTAACTAACCTCAAAATTTTGTTTTTTTTCACCTGTGGACAGGACTGGATTCTGAATTTTTCTAGCAAAAATGTTTGGTTGCAGCCTTCTTAACTAGTGTTTTACTTTTCTCCCTTCCTTTGCCCTGGAGTTATTGAGAACTAAAACTTTATTCTGAGCCTTGCTCATGCAGACTGTAGCTATCCGATATAATGTGAATTTTGGAGAAATCTTCACAACAGCTCACATGTGACGGTTTAGGTGGCTGATGCTGTGTAAGCCACACAGACAACTGATGTTCGGACTGCAGATTAGTGCAGTCTGTTGAATTTTCACTGCCTGCCTTCATTCCCGCAAAAATGAAGCTCTGAGCCTTTTATCTGGAGGTCTTCTAGACTGACAGTCTTACAGACTGAGAGACTAGCTTTGGTTTGCTTTGATCCTTACTTAGGGTACATGTATCCTGGCCTACTGTTTATTTTACCATTGCTGTGGTCTCTGCTTGTAAACTATACACCCAGAATGCCTCCTCTAAGGCTCAGGTGGGCATGTGAGATTATAAGGGCCAGAAGAGAGGCACCCATGGGCAGACAAATCTTACTACAAGCTAATTGTCCCCCTTTGTTGATCCTGGGCCCAGATGCTCTATTTCCCTCAAGATAGATGAATGAACAGAATGGGGGGATTGTAATTATGAAATTCTTCTCTCTGATAGCCTTCAGGCTAATAGCTCCTACTACAGATATGTTAGTTAAATAGCAGAATTCTGCTTGAGGCTTGAGCGGCATGTCTCTCCCTCTCCTCTCGCGTCCTGTCCCTTCCTTCCCCTTCCTCCCTCCCACCCCCTGTCCAGTTCAGCAAAGAGGTGAGGAAATATGCACAAAGTAATGAGTCGCCATAACTTGACTCAGACCAGTGGGCATCAATGGATCAACTGGGAACAAAGGGATTGAGAAATTTTGCCCTTTTCCTTGGATCTCTTTTGAGGCTTACCTATCTATACTAGCACCCACCCCTTGCTCCCTTCCCTTAGGAAAAATAGATGCCAGGATTCCAGACTCTCTTAAGGATTTCATAGTTTCCCCATCTTCTAGTCTGAGATTTTCTGACAGTGCCAGGTACCATGGTTGATTAAAAATAAGCTAAAACTTCATCAATAAACCTTTACTTGCCCCCTTTCCCCCCAAAAAAGCTATTTTAAGTGTCAATTTATCAAAATATTAATAGAAAAGATTGTGGTTACTGAATTCATATGTGTATGTACTTTTTGTTCCACTTTTTAAAAATACCCAACCTATGTTATAAAATACCTTAAAACTAATTTAGTTCTATTCTTAACAATTACATTGTCAATGGTCAGAAAGTTCATATAAAGTGTTTTTGCATTTTTCATACTTTATGATACTACTACAGGCCCGGTGCATGAAATCCATGCATGGAAGTGGGGTCCCCCAGCTCTGCCTGCACCCTCTGCAATTCAGGACCCCAACACCTTTTTCTTATCTAGCTATCCTCTTCACATTAAAAAAATTTTTTAACTGAAATATTACCTACTCTAGGAAATCCTTTTTGAACAAACGTCTTTACAATCTGTATTAAGTATTTTCATAGTACACCATTCTTTTTCTTTAACATCTACTTAGAGAGGATGCAATGTGGTTTTCCTTCTTGCATCTGAATTTTTTCTTCTTGCTCTTGTAATAGCAAAGCTTATCCAATTTACATTTGCCCTTCAAGGGCTTATATTTGGTTCAGTTTTACTTGGCTCCCTGCTTTTTTTCAAGCAATAAATTTGGGTTGTGATAGTAAGCCTCACTTGTAATCTATCTGAATAGTTCTGTAATACCTACCACTTTAGCATACCAGAGATTATGTTCATTTAGAGAAAATAACAATGTCACCTGATCATTTGATCTTCTAGTAATATTTTATAGCAAGATATATTATTCTAGTAATTTAACTATTTAAAAACTGAGGTGTACAGAAATAAATTAAATTGAACAATAAAGAATGACTCAATTATCAAAGCATAGTACTCTTAGGGACTCCCTTGTCCTATGCTTCAAATATCATAGCTTAGTACACATGGAAATCAGTGTCCTTTAAAATAGGAAGGGATGTCATACTCATGAAGCAGCTGGTTTTTATTTAAGGGCCTTACTGTTCTGTGTCTTTACAGGTGGGTGAGTAGAGCTGATGGAATTTGAGAAAACCCAGACAGAATTCTCCTAAAAGATTTCACTAAGCTGGCCATGCATTTGTCCAATTAAAACCTGGACACTGAGCAATAACAAAGGCACTGGTGGTCTACTGCTAATGCATGGGGATCAAACCCCAGCCTGCAGGAACTCACCCTCTCAGTCAGGACCAGGCCGCTAGGTAGACCTGGGCTGGTGCTCCTAACTCTGGGGAGAGGGAGACTTCCCATGGTTGCAGGTTAGAGGGGAACAGGTCCATAGCACAGGTTGGTCAGCAGAGCGGCTTCTTCACTTGGGATTGCAGGGCAGCTTGGCCAGGCTCGGCCTGGCCTGTTCACCCCATGATCACAGGTCAGCTTGGCCTGGCTTGTTCACCCAATGATTGCAGGTCAGCTCAGCCTGGCCTGTTCAGTTCTCCCCATGACCATGGGTCAGCTTGGCTTGGCCTGCTCACCCATGATCGCAGGGCAGCTTGGACACAGGCTCTTTGCCCCCTGATTGCAGGGTGGCTTGGCTTGGCCTATTCCCCCCAAGATGACTGAGCAGCTTGGACCCAGGCAGGTGGTGTGGCGGCTTGGACCTAGGCAAGGGGCAGTGTCTCCTACATGGGTCCAAGCCAGCTGACGCTGCCTGCTTGGGCCTCCATCTCAGCTTGAATCCACCAGTGGCTTCAGGTGTTGTTCCCCGCTGCCTGCCCATGTCTCCAATTCATCAGCCGTATAGGGTCTCTGCCTCAGACACCTGCATATGCAAATTTACCTGCCATCTTTGCTGGATTAATTTGTATACCACTCCTGATTGGCCGTGGGTATAGCGAAGGTACGGTCAATTAGCATTTTTCTCTTTTATTAGTGTAGATCTGTACTCTCATTTCCAAAAATAACATTTTAACTGTATGGTTTGTTGGGTTTTGGGTCTCTTCATTTTGTCATCCTTTTAAGTAAAGTCCTCCATTACATCATTGTGACTACGGGTGAGTTACTAGAGATGATTTCTGAGTTAAACTTAATCTTGTTAGGGAATTTAAGCTTGCCTTGTTGGCTATGCCATATAACATCCTGATCTAAAGTTAGAACAACTTATCTGTTTCTGTTTCCTTCCTCCTGTCTTTTCACTTGTAGTTCACTGTCATCCTTTTACAAACTTCCCACAGGGACCATTTTATGTAAATGTACACACTTTATATGTAAGTTTCTAAAACTTTTAATAAAAGCTGAGTAAAATTTTGATGCAGTTAGGCAGAGATAAGCAACCTACAAAAACACAGTGTGCCTAAGAAGGCACACAAGCACACGAGCCACTGCATTCATTCATTCATTCATTCAGTTATTCATTCAGTCTTGAGATCTTAAGCTACTTGGGCTTATTTTGTTTTGTTTTGTTTTTTTTACATGCATTATTAGTTCACTTAATTAGATAAACTTTGAGACATAGTTATTGGGATAATCCTCAACCTAAAGATGTTGTGTGTCTACCAGGGTTGGGGAAATTGATGAACTTCTGCTAAGTACATCCAATATTTAAATTTAGTTGCTACATCTGTGTTGTAAAACCCAATGCTTTAACTTATCTGTTTAGTCCTATCCTTTTGTCCTACTAGATCCGGGGTGTTCATTTTTTATATTTCCCTTCACTGAGGCACAGCTAACAGGTCTGTAGTTACTGGCAGAGCTTTTCGTACTTGTACTCCCTCTTCTCTCTCAGGAGCTAGAATAGTTCTGTGATAGGCACCCTCTCACAGACACCAGAGAGGTGCTAGCAGACAGCCCCCTGAGTCAGAGGGAGAGGGCTGTCCTGGCCTCGATTCTTGTCATGTTCATAGGAATGAATTCAAACTAGTGACTTCAGATAATTGCATTGTAATGAAGCTAATTTATTTTTTTAAAAATTAAGTAAATGAATGTATTAGAGAATCAAGGCAAACAAATCTACTAAACTACACCTGAGTCTGGTGAGGGTTCAAGTGGTTATATACCCTTCTGTCTCTAGATGTAAAAATTCCTTGGCTAGATATCCTGGTACAGGTTAACTCTGAAGGTCTCTCTCCCTCTGCTTTGTTATGGTTTTCCCAGAATTTATGAGAAGCATCTGGCACCTAAATCCCAAGACTGCTGGCTTCTCTGTTTAAATAGTGGGTTGAGATAAGACTGCACTTTTCCTTTGCCCTCTTCTCTCCTTCCTGCTGTCTAATCCAGGTTGATTTAAGGTATGTATTCTCTAGTCACATTAAAATACCTCCTCATCTCCCCTTTTCCTTTCCCTTTCTCTCCTACAGTCTTTGGAATTTGCTCTCCAGCATTCTGGGTTGGGAGAAGATAAAGGTTTGCTATTTATAATCTGTCTACAGGTGGCCAAACTGTTTGGTCTTATTTTAATTTTCTTATCTCAGTTTCCCTATTCCTCCTGCCTTGGAATTTTCCTGCCTTCTTACTGTCCTATAACTGTTCAGTACTATCTAAACATTATATTTACTAGCACAACTCTGATATTTTAAAATTTTGTTTTAAATACACTGAACAAAACCCTGCCCCTATATACAGCCAGTGGTACCCAACTTCCCTTTATTGCTTCCAGTTCATTTTTATCCCTGGAAAAGATATTTCAAGTATTATCATGGTTGAAATGGTTGAATACACACACACACACACACACACACACACACACACAATTTTGGGGGGTAAAAAACATGTTCATTTCCTTTTCTTTCCACTGAGCAACTCCAAACAATGTGACTTTCCTTTTAAGTCTTCCATGCTTCAGAAAAAAAATGTTATTTTCACCTATGCTGAGATTAGTAGTGGAAAGTTCTTTTTTAAAAAAAAAATATATATATATATATATTTCATTGATTTATTACAGAGAGGAAGGGAGAGGGATAGAGAGTTAGAAAAATCGATGAGAGAGAAACAGATTAGAGAGAAACATAGATCAGCTGCCTCCTGCACACCCCCTACTAGGGATATGCCTGCAACTAAGGTACATGCCCTTGACCGGAATTGAACCTGGGACCTTTCAGTCCACAGGCCAATGCTCTATCCACTGAGCCAAACCAGTTTCAGCCAGTAGTGGAAAGTTCTTGCTCACCGATAACACAGATACCAACTCTTATGCACAGCTTGAAACTATATATTTTACCCTTGACTGCCTCAGATCACAGTCTTTGATTTGTCACTGAATGTGGCAAGTCACTTAAACTCTTTCATTTCCTCCTCTGTCAAATCAGGATCCTAATGGTACTTTACTAAAAGGGTGGTTGTGAGGCTGACGTGAGTTAGGGCATGTAAAGTGTTCAGAACAGTGCTGGGCACTGGTAAAAAGGCTAGTTCTAGGGATAACTTGTTGTCTTTGTTCAAAAATCACTGGAGCAATTTACATATTTGAACAATGGTCTCTCCCTTACCCAGTTAGCTCCTCACACAGGACCTGAGAGACATCAGAACTTGGCCCGTTGCTTCTGTGGGAGGCAGGTACCCCACAGGCTTCAGGACTTCCTTTGTTGGCTTCAAAGGCAGCCATGCCCAGCGCTTCCAGCTCAGCTCTTGCGGATGCTCCACCCCAGAGTCTGCTTTCTGAATCAGAGGAGCCTACGCAGTTATTTAAGGTGGACTAGCCAGGTAATGGGTCATAACGTCTTGGCCCCTTAGCCCTTCCTTGAGCAGTCACTGTGATTGACAGTGGGCAGACAGGTGCAAGAAACCGGAAGTCACTACATGCAGCCAGAAGGTGTCTACTCAACCCAAACGTCTTTTGAGGAATAGTCTCAGACCGCCCCCTGAGACGACTTGCTGTTTACAAGGCAGCACTTGTCATATGCTTTTTGTTAAATATACGGAGAAAGAATCATAAGGCATGGGGACAAAGATGGCATTTCTGATTAAGACTGCTCTACAAAATATATCCTGACCCCCTTTGCTGCTAGGAAGAGAAATAAAAATACATACAAATCCTGTAAATAACCTGTTTATTTTTTTTATAGAAAGCCATAACAGAAAATGATTAGTTTGTAACTATGTAAGAACATTTACATCCATACGATCAACAACTTCAAAACTTCGTATTTTAAAAATAGTTGGAGTGTTAATTATAGGAGAGCCCTGATGTGATCACTTCGTGAATGGTTCACGTCCCAGCCGTGCTCTTTAGACATAAGCATTTTTATCGAACTGTTTGGAGGGGGTTGTGGTTTTGATATCTCCTTCTCCACCATGGTACTTTGCCCGAGAAGACATGACAGACGTAGCCCCATTGTAGGCGTATCCCATCCTGAAAGGCAAAACACAGTTGCGTAGATTCTGTTTTACACGTAGGCAAACAAATTGAGAAGAACCCATTCTCCCCCCTTCTAGTCCAAGTCCAAGTACCCCTGGTTACTTTCAGTTAGCCTTCTTCCCAAGAAATGTTTCAAAGTCAGTACTGAACTGCTGGTGTGATAATCTCTGCAGAAGAAACTCCTGGCTCTTTCATTCGTTCAGTGATTATCCTTTTAAAACATTATTTAAAACTTCTCTTCCGGGAAGTCAGGAGACCACAGTGACCTTCATCAGCTATTTCTATGTGAAAATGATCTTGAGGCCAAAGTGAAGAAGGCCCCCATAGTCAGACGCATGGTTCTAGTTCAAGAACTGGCTTTGGGATGTAAGAATGATGAGCTTGGAAAACAAAACAAACAAACAAACAAAAAACACCCAAAACTATAATTAACTATATTCTATTCAATATAATATTTACTCTGTTTAATATATTTACAATATATTCCTAACCTTTCCCTTTTCTGGGTTTTTGAAGTTTCTAAGAAGCATGAACTACCTATAATGTCTCACACGTAGTTGGTCCGAAGGTTGTGGGTTATTGTTAAGCTAATGTCTCACACGTAGTGGTTTAGAGTATATGGTACTTTTTAAAAGGTCATTTTGATTCTTTTCCATACCTGGGTTTTTTGTTGTTGTCAGATATTGAAAAGCAAAATATGACGCCACCAATTATGCAGAGCGTGGCTCCTGACCATCCAATAAACAGAGCGGCTCCTAATTCATACCTGTGAGGAAGTATTACACAAGTATTAAGGCTTCTTATTAAGGGGGTTGGAGTGTTCAGTAAGTGCTAGCTAGTAGTGTTCCTAGCTAGCACTTACTGAATGCTAATTATAATTTTTGCTACTAGAGCTTGTATAGGAAGTAATAACACTAGTATCCATATAATGCTTTAAACTTTATCAAAGTGTTTTTTATAGACATCACTTGATTATATATCCTCAGAGAAATAAATAAAGAATAAGAGTATACCCAAATCTCAGGGACTATGTGTTTCTCATGCTTGTCTATCCCATTCTTGAAGAATAATGTTTTGTTTTGTTTTGTTTTGTTTTTACTAAAGAAGTGGTTCTCCAATTTTTTGGCCCATAGTCTGCCATTGCAAAGGAAAAAATGATGTTGCCATTCCCTACCTAAGGGTGCTTTTCATTGTAAAGTGAAGTCACAGTAGGAAGGTTTGATGATACAGAATCCACAGAGGAACTAAGAAAGGAAAGTAAGAAGTGAGGGTAAGAAAGACATGCCAAGGTTAACTCCCTCCCCAGCCCAACCCCTGAACCAGGTGCAGTGCCAGGGCCAGAGGGTGGTCTCAAGGTCACAGCATGATGTTGACAGCAGCTGGCCCGGGCCTGTCCTGAATTTGTCTCATCTCTTTCTGTGAGCCGTGTCCCCACCCAGGCTCGGCAGCTCTTCTGGGTGGTTTGAGTCACAGCAGTGGTGGGCAGTGGAACAGCCTGGCCCTGGCCACCATCTGGTGCAAATAGGAAGCAACACCTATTTACCATATTTGACCTCCATTGCAATTCTGCAAGATGGCTTTTACAAATGAGGAAACTGAAGCTCAGGGAGATTAAATAACTTGACCCATATCTCAGCTAAGTAAATAGTGGCTAGAACCAGGATTTAGAACCCAACACTGTGATCCAAACCCTGAGCTCTTAGCCATCACTCCTTCTGTTATGCACACCTCAGCTAAGTAAAAGACTTCATTTATATAAAAAATTCGATCAAGTTCACTGGTTTGAGTTGTCATTTCAGAAGCCGTGTGTGTTCTCTCTCCCTGGCTCATTGTGTTCTCAGTGGCTCAGAGCTCAGGGGTATGGAATTTTTCTAAATCCCCTTAGGCTATCTTCTCACCCAGCATAAGAAAAGGTGAGTGCAGTAATAAAAATCAGGACATGTTGGACTTGAAAAAGAGAAAATCAGCTCCTCTAAAAGCAAAACAAAAACTGTTTGGTGAATGAAAATAACCACAACCTTTTAAGATCCCAAAGAAGTGAGGTGGCCTTGCTGAAAGTCACGGAACTAGGAGCCAGGTCTTTGACCAGAGTGGTATTCTCTCTGCCCCGCCCCGCAAAAAAAAACCACAACAACACACACACACACACACACACACACACACACACACACACACACAAAACACACACACACACACACACACACACACACATACACATTGTTCTACTCCTCGTTTTAATCAAGAGTGGCAGGCACCAGCCTTTTGGCTCTCTGAGCAGCATCATGGCCATGGGCAAGAACAAGCAAGCGCCTTACGAAAGGCGGCAAAAAGGAAGCCAAGAAGAAAGTGGATGATCCATTTTCTAAGAAAGATTGGTATGATGTGAAAGCACCAGCTCTGGTCAACAGAAGAAGTGTCAGGGAAACACTAGTCATGAGAACTTAAGGAACCAAAATTGCATCTGATGTTCTCAAGGGTCGTGTTTTTGAAGTGAGCCTAACTGATCTATAGAATGATGAAGTCGTGTTTAGAAAATTCAAGCTAATTACTGAGGATGTTCAGGGCAAAAATTGCCTAATTTCCATGATGTAGATCTTACCCGTGACAAAATGTGCTCCATGGTCAAGAAGTGGCAGGCTATGATTAAAGCTCATGTTCATGTCAAGACTACCAATGGTTATTTGTTTTGTCTATTCTGTGTTGGTTTTATTAAAAAGAGCAACAATCAGATTTGGAAGACCTCTTATGGTCAGCATCAGCAGGTCCACCAAATCCGGAAGAGGATGGAAATCATAACCTGAGAGGTGCAGACAAATGACTTGAAAGAAGTGGTCAATAAATTGATTCCAGACAACATTGGAAAAGACATAGGAAAGGCTTGCTAATCTCTTTATCCACTCCATGATGTCTTTGTTAGAGAAATCAAAATGCGGAAGAAACCCATGTTTGAATTGGGAAAATTCATGGAGCTTCCTGGTGAAGGCAGCAGTTCTCGAAAAGCTACTGGGGATGAGATAGGTGTTAAAGTTGAATGAGCTGATGGATATGAACCTCCAGTCCAAGAATCTGTTTAAAATTCAGACATTTGATGGTGACAAATAAAAAAAAAATCCTATTTGTGAAAAATAAATAAATGAATGAATGGCAGGAGCCAAAATAAATATTCCAATTACCTTAAAACAACTAAATACATATAAAAACATTTGAAGTTTAAAAAGTACACTTATATATTATCAATGTTAACATTTTAAAATTGAATTCCATTGGTTTGCCTTTTATTTTTTTTAAGTCCTCACCTGAGGATATGTTTTATTGATTTTAAAGATAGATGAAGGGAGAGGGAAAGAGAGAGAAACATGGATCGGTTGCCTCCTGTACGCACCAGAAATGGGGATTAAACCCACAACCTAGGTATGTACCCTGACCAGGAATCTAACCTGCAACCTTTTGTTGTAAGGGACAATGCTCTAACCAACTGAGCCACACAGGCCAACACAGTTTATCTTCTTTTAAAGATTACCATCTAAAATAAACTTCACTCAAAGGCTTAAAAAATCCAAGATTTATAGAACTGCATGGATGGATTTTATCCTATATAATAAAAGGCCAGGGACCATAAGCTTAACGACTAGAACAAATAGAATGACTGCTCGACCAGTTGCTATGAGGTGCATTGACCACGTCTTGGTACCTCCCCTCCCCCATCTCCTTCACCCCCTCTTACCCTCTCTCGTAGAAACCACAGGGGAACCACGGGAAACCACCAGGAAGTGAGTGAGTGGCAGTAGGGCAAGACTAGGGACTGGAGAGTGGGCAGAATGGCTGACCTCTTGGTCCCTCCCCCTGGCCTGCAGGCTCCAATGGATCAGCGATGGAGTATGGAGGAACGGGGGTGAGTGGCGGGAGGACCAGGCTGGCTGTCAGGCTGATGGGATCCCCAGCTCATCCCTGGCTGCTCAGGGACTCAGGCCAGTGGGAAAGCCAGTGCCAGTGACTTCATCTCCATGTGCATGCACCGAGCTGGCCATTGATGGAATGTAATGCCCGCTTGGGGCCACTGACGCAGGCACCACCACCAGAAGCTGTGGGGCACACTCGAAACCTACCCAACCCTGTGGGGGCAGAGGAGGCCAAGGCTGCGTTCGGCCTGGGGACTGGTGAACAGGCAGAAGATGGCCCTGATTGCAGGCTAGGCCTAGGGATCCTACCCACACAATTTCATGCACTGGGCCTCTAGTATTAAATAAGTATCCTTAACAGCATTATTTACAAACAAACATTTCCCACAAATACTCTTCATTCTAGAAGCAGGGTGTTTAGTGCCTTTTTTTCTCCCTGAGACTGTGGCAGTCTAGTCTCACTTATGCAATTTACATCATTTAACAGTTATTTCATGTTGCCTGAAAGATACTCCAAGATTTCGCACTTACGTTTCCACATGAGACTACTAAAAATGGCAGGTGCCACCCCAATGGTAACTAAAGTAGAATGAAATAATTTTTTTTTTCTTCTTTAAAATTTATTGAGATTTCTTATGTGGCATAGCACATGCTAATGTTTTATTTTGTTTAAAAGACTGGGAGTTAAATGTTAGGTACTAATACACTGAGTTGCCAGATTATTATAATCTCTGAACACATAATAATCTGGCCACTCACCGTATATTCTATATAATAAAAGGCTACCTATTCAAATTGTCCCCATGACCAAGAGTTTGACCAGTATGCAGGCTGGCCAATTGTCCATGTCCCCTCCTCCTGGCCAGGCTGGCTGGACTCCACCCATGCATAAATTCATGCACCAGGACTCTAACATATATATTTACTGATTGGCCAGATTATTATGAATTCAGATATCATAATAATCTGGTCACTCAGTGTACAATATGTGTAACAAAGCAAGCAATAACTTCCATTTGTCAAATTTTAGAATGAGATAATTAAAATAATAATGTCTACTTATAAATGGAAACTTCATGGAGAATTATCAAATTTAGGAAACCCCAAATAAAGACTGATTTTTGGGGGGGGAGGGTGCCAATTCTAAATTGCTTTTCAGTGGCTAGTTTATGGTAGCCTGCATGCATTATCTTTCCATGTATTATCATTAGGATAGATTAGAATTCTACACATTCTATATATTAATACAGGGACACTGTAACACTTACTGATCACACACCATGTTCTGCTGTGGTGGGTGTTTTATAAGTTATTTCCTTTCATCCTTAACCTTCATGAACAGGAGATACTATCTCTGTTAGTCAGCCAGGGTCTGAGCAGAGGTCTGACTCTAAAACCTGTCTCTTAATCTCTCTGTCTCCTTCCCTTTTGTAAAATGCTCAAAATGTATCTTTACAAGAGTTCAGATTTTTGCCAATTACTCATGGGAACTTAATAACCCATCCACAGTATTACAATATGATATTAGCCAAAGAACAACTCATGTCCCCAAAATTACATAGTTTAAGAACAAATCTGTTGTTTAGCAATATCCATGCCACTGGTTTCCGTTCATGTAGATAATTGGGAGTTTATTGAGCCTGCATTTTCAGTGAGAAATGATATGCCGGTTATAACACTCCAAGTAGGCACAATAACATGTTTATACACAAATGTTGAAATCTGGGTAAACTGACTGCAGAGGGGGCTGTGCTTCAAGATTACAAATTCTGGAGACAACACTGTCCCATGATACTTTAGAGCAAGACCAGCACTGGTGAGCACAGGTCAAGAATCGGTGGAGACAGGTGTGCAAATATGTTTGTGC